GCGGGGTCGAGGCGCGCGGGGGCGGGGGCGGGGGCGGGGGCGATCCTGCGCGCGTGCGTCCTGGACGAGGACGAGGAAACGTTCGTGGTTTTCGACGCCTCCGGAAGCGCGCGCGTCGGGAAAGCGCGCGATGGACGAGCGGTGACGCTCGTGGACGTCGCGGCGTTCGCTGCGAGGAGCGATGAGGCGTTGGACGTCGTGCGTGGTCCGTATTGGTCGTGCGCGCGAGCGGGACGCGGTCGCGCGTTGGTCGGCACGAGCGGACGGACGCTCTTGGAGTGCGCGTGGGACGAACGAGGGATCGAGCGACGTGTAGACGACGATGGTCTCCCGTTGAAAGCGCTCGGGCCGCACACGGGGTACGTGCGAGACGTGGTGGTTTCGCGAGACGGGACGCGCGCGTGGAGTTGCGCGTGTAACTTTGCGCCGAGTTGGCGTGCGAGAGATGACGGCGCATTCGAGGCGACTGGGGATGTGTTGAAGTTGTTTACAGGTGATATCCTACGATTGGCGCTGTGTGAACGGGCCGGGGAGACTCTCGTGTTTTGCGGCGTCGCCGATGGAACGGTTCGCGCGTTCGATGCGACGAAGTCTCCCGCGGACGATCTCGGAGTTGTCGGAGGCGATGAAACGATCACAAGGGGGCGCGTATCGGCACTGTGCACGGTCAATGATGAGTGGGTCGTGAGCGGTTGTCACGACGGTGTGGTCACGACGCATCTCGCGCGTTCAACGAGAGGCGCCGCCGTGGCTTCACGCACTTTGGATGGGAAGGTTCAAGACATAGTCGTTCTCTACGACGGGCGCGTCATCGTCGCTGGAAGTTTCGGAGTCGTCGTATACGACTGTGCCGAGCGCTTGAATCTCGTGGACGACGCTTTCGGAGGTGTTCGATCGGCCGTCCGTTCGCTGGCGAAGACGGCGAATAGCGTCATCGTCGGCTCTGCAGTCGGCGACGTCTTCATCATCCCATATCGTTAGCGGGTACTAAACATCGTTCGCAGTACTAGTACAAAGATAGATAATACAAGCCAACTGATTATTAGCGAACGCGTCACACGAAACGCTTGATCGACTCGATAATCTCCTCAGCAGGGGGCGTGAAGAAGTGGTCTCGCTTCTCGCAAATCGTCGGCTCGCGCACACCGAGCTTACTTGCCAACTCTCTCTGCATCTCCGCCGGAACTAATCCGTCCCTCAGCCCGATAACGCAATCGATCCTTCCGCTGCAGTTCTCCTTGATCTTTTCGTAATCGAATGCGCTGTCAAAAAAACCCGACGCCCGCTCGTTGGCGTCGCCCAAGTCGTCGTCGTACCCGGCGACCAAAACGATCGCCCTGAGCCTCCTTCGCTCCGCCAATCGGAGCGCACACACCGCTCCCGAGCTGTGCCCGACGACGATCGATTCTTCGTCGCACTTTAGGACGTCTTCGCAGTGTGGGATCCAAATTTTCTGTCTGCACAGATGTGGGTCCGGCATTGCCGGCGTCGTGACTCGAACGTCGCGCACGATGTTTCGCTCCACCAGGGCGCTCTTGAGCCAGGCGTAGTAGTTACACTGCATCGTCGGCGCGCATCCGGAGCCTGGCAAGATGACGACGTTCGCCATGACAGTCGCGAGCGGTGGTGCGTGGCGCGCGGGCGAGTGCGGGCGTAACTAACTCTGCAAGTCTCGAGGTTTTGATGTGATTGCAAAGCGAGCTACGATGCGCGAAATGGCGCGCACAGTGGGTGTCGGTGTCGTGTCAGGTGGTTTCTGGTCGCGCGTCAGCGCTCACGACGGCGCGACGTTTTCGTCGCCGTACCGTGCCAAGCGTGAGTGCCGGCGAACGATCGGTGAGAGCGCCACGGGCTCGCCGGCGGAGATCTGTCGGAAAACCTCCGTCGTGACGGCACCGACATCGACGTTGGCGCCGTATTTCTGGATCTGGGCCAAGAGGTCGGCGAGCTGGGTCATCGACAGCCCCGCGTCGGCCGAAGCCGGGGAAGCCAAGTCGGCGACGGGTCGCAGAAATTTGTGTGAGAGGATCTCCTTGACGGATATCCGCTTCCTCGGATCTCGCTCCAGGCATCGACGCATGAGGTCAATAAGCGCTGGATTATCAACCGGCAGAGGCGGGAACGAGATGGCGTGACGAGGATCGGTGATGGCGTGGAGCTTTTGAATCATCCCCGTGATTTTGCTGAACGGTGTGTGTCCATAAACCATCTGGTACAGAATGCAGCCGAGACTCCATATGTCGCTCGAGCGTCCAACCTTCATCGGCCCGCCTAACGCGGACGCTTGCCCGTTCAAGATAGCCTCCGGTGACATATAATTAACTGTCCCAACCTGATGGTCGCGCACGATGTTGGTATGATCCGGAGCTTGCTCAGTCTGGATGGCTCGCGCGATGCCGAAATCGATCAACTTGAGCGCGCCCTCAACGAACAAGAAGTTCGCAGGCTTAAGATCACTGTGCACGATGCGCTCTTCATGAATTGTATTAACGGCCTCGACCATTTGCTCAAAGTACAAGCGCAAGAAGTTGTCGTCGATACCTCCGCCGCCGTTGTTCTCGCGCTGTTTCTCGCGTTTGGCGAGCATGTGAGCGAGATCAATTTCGCCGAACTCTAGCACCATGAAGATGAGCTTCTCCCGCGGGCAAACCTCCGCATCGATGAGCTGAATGATATTATCCCGACCTCGCAACGTTTTCAGTAGCTTGATCTCATCGATAAACCCCGCGACGGTCTCGTTCTCCTTGCCATCCAGACGAATACGTTTGAGAGCCAAAATTTTCCGCTTCGGAGAAACCACCTTGAAAACCTTACATGTCCCCCCTTGTCCAACGCACTCGAGCTTCGTGTATTTGACCCCATTCACGAAGACCGTGTTGTCATCCTCACGTGGACGGTTCGGATGCTTATCCGCGCTCGCCATGGCGCCGCTCTCGACGCGCCGCTCGCCGCCAGTTGCGGGAGTGTGCTCTGTCGCTCGCGGTCGAGATGGTGCCCCCCTCGGCGGATCCATCGGCGTGTGCTCGGCCGCGGACGGTGTACGCTCAGCTACCAGCGCTCTGGACGCGCTCATGGCGCTGTACTTCTCCTTGGCCTCAGCCAGTCTACTTCGTAGCGTCACCGTGGCGTCCATTCCACTCGAGGATGGAGGCGGCATTGAATTCTCCGTCTTCTCTCCAGCGCCTCGAAAACCATTAGTCCGCGCGCTGTGATAGCTGCTCACGCTTCCAGGCATGGTTGTCGACGAAGTGACGTACGCGGTTCCAGCGGCCTGATGCGTCGGTGCCTGATGCGTCGGCGCGGTGAATTTCGCCGTCGGCGTCGCTTGAAAGTTTGCCAACGCCGCGGCGCGTTTGGATAGATTTCCAGGCGTCGCCACGACGGGCGCCTTAGGCGCGGCTCTCGTGTCATCTTCCATCTCGTTTGCGTGACGCGGTTTCACGGGTTTGATGGCGGACGTGTACTGCGGCGCGAGCGATGGAAACGGCGTGTGCTGGGTGTGTTGCACCGGCTCGTACCGCTGCCCCTCGATATCGGCGAGGAAACACTCGATGGCACCTCTCGGCTCCGCCCTGGAGTCCAGCCCGCGCTTCAAAATCTTCACAGCCTTTTCCCGCCCCTTGAACGTGAACCCGAACGCCGCCCACTCGCACCAATAAATTGCGTGCTTGTGTCCGATGCCGCACGACTTTAAAAATTTAAACGTGTCCCTCGCGTCGTCCATGTTGCTCAGCATCTGTTGCCTCGCCAGCCCGAGCCATATTCGCACATAGTTCTCATCGTTCACGTTCCCTCGTCTCGGAATCGTTTTCGTCGCGAGTTCGTACAGGCGATGCAAACTCACGCCGTTTCGACTCCCGGTCGCCGCGCTCGGCTTTCCGAGCTCCGTCGTCGGTTCCGCCCCCACGTACAACGCCTCCTCGCTCTCCAAGAACATCAACCACGGCTCCGGGCGCTCCATATTCTCTCGCACCGCCTCCACCAGCGCGTCTCGCTCCTCCCTCGCCCGTCTCGACTCCTCCGCGCTCGTCGCCGCGCGGTACTCCTCCAGCAACGTCTCCGCGCTCGCGCGCGTCCGCCCCCGATCCCTCCCGACGCCCTCACCGCGCCCGACGGCGTCGCGCGCGCCATGCGCGAGACCGAAACCGAGCGCTGGACGCCATCGTCGCGCGCCCTTTCACCGCGCTCCGCGCGCTCGTCCGTCGCTCCGTTGCCCCCGAGCCGTTGCGCGCGCGATCGCCCATCGTTCGCGTCGTCCGCACCCCGCGCCCGCGACGCCATCGCGCGCGCGCTCGAGGTCACGACGCGTGGTCCACGCGCGCGCCGTGGACGCGCGCGCGATCGTCCGCGCCCGTCGCCCGAGTGCGGTCGCGCGCGCGACGCGCGGGGGACGTTCCCCTGGACCGCGCGGTGATGCGCTCGACGGGTCACGAGTCACGACTCGTCGTTCGACGTCCACAAACGACCCCGCGCGCGCCCTTTCGTTCACCTTTCGATGTGTGTCAAACGTCACCTTTCGATGTGTGTCAAACGTCACCTTTCGATGTGTGTCAAACGTCACCTAACGCGTGCGGCGTTCGTTTCAAGGCGGGCCGCGTCGTCGCCGACGACAATGGCAACGTCTTCCCGCTGGCCCCGCAAGGGCGCAAGCGTGCCGTTCAGATCACGCCGCACCGTGGCGGCGAAAACTACGTCGGACCCCCCTTCAAGCGCGCCAAGCCGAAGCACTCCTCGTCCACTTACACGCACCACCTGGAGGATGGAAGACTGTACGAGCTTAAGCGCGTGCCAGATTCCGAGGGTGACAAACACACTCTACCGAGGCTGCACTCAGCGACAATTTTGACCGATTACGACGGTGCTGTACTTCTGATGCTATTGCACGGCGACGGGGATGATGAAGAGAGCGACAGTTGAATCAGCTTTTCATGATCTCTTTTTGTCCCATCTGTACCACCACAAAGGTGAGGCACGCAAACGCGTTTCTGTACTCAACAAGATTCTTTCTCGACGGCTGCCGTATACATTTCATCCAGTGCGCCGTCCATGTTGCTAAAGTCTACTGTACCGTACTCCTTGTAATAAAATTTTGTTTTTTCTGATTACATCGCTCGAGAAGGAGTGAGTGGAGCGGAGTCTCACGTCACGCACAGCTGATCCGGTCCCGTTAGTGGTCCATGAGCTTATCCATCGCCACACTCAGTGCCGCCATCGTCGCGCATCCCATCGCGATCCCTTGCGGTCCACTCGTCCGGGCCATAACTCCACCCGTGAAGCAACCGGCGTACGCACTGTTCATCATATCGTGACTCGCTCGAACCTTTTCCACCACGCACTCGCTCCCGGCGTACAGCGCGCCGAACTGCGCGAACCCCTTCGCATACGACCACGATCGCGCCCCAGCCGCTCGAGCGCCCTGCTTCACACTCTCCGCGATCGTCACCTTGGGCGCGTCCGCCGGTCTGATCTCCATCGGTTCGAACGCGCCGAACACCACGCCCATGACCCCGCCCAGCGCCCCGCCCAGCGCGAACGACATCCCCGTCTTCAGCGCGCAGTTATCCATCGCATCCTGTTGATACACCTCCTCGGGCGTCGGCAGCTTCACCCGCTCGTACGTCTTCCGCTGTCGCGGCTTCTTCTTCTTCGCCATCGCCGTCGCGTCGTCGTCGTTCGTCTCGCTCGTCGAGGTCTCGGCGGCGGCGTCCGCGATCCCATCTTTCCTCATCGCCGTCGCCTCGACCGTCGACATCGAACGCGCGTCCGCGATGACATCGCTCGCATCATCGAGCGTCTCTCCCGCCGCGCTCGACGCGTCGTTCGTCATGCCGCGCGCGCGAGCGAGTGGTGACGCTCGAATCAGCCGAGCGTCACATCATGGACGTCCCGACCACCCCGTTCGAGCTCGAGCGCGAGCACCGGGCGTTCTTGAAGATCGTCCGAGCGGTGTGCGAGTACGACAAGGACGCGAGCGCGCTCTTGGAGCGATGGCGGCGACGGTTGGGGGGGGCGACAGCGCACGAGACGATCGGAAAAGCGCTCGAGCGAGTGGAGCGCGTGGGACCGAAGTGCGTGGCGAACAACGCGTCGTTTCTCAGTTCAGCGGTGTGGACGTTCGTCGATAATGAGCGCGCGCCGGATCATCTCCGGGTGCCTCGAGCGGAGGTGGAGAAGTGGGCGGCGGATGACGAGTTTCGCGCGGCGCCGGAGGACGCGGAGAAAGTGCGATACGTGTTGAAGAACGCGTGGAGGGATTGGAGCGAGGAGGGAAAGTGCGAGCGCGATCCGGTGTACGATGAAATATTTGAAGCGCTCGAGGAGAGGTTGGGAGCGATCGATGCGAGCGTCGGGAGTCCCGACGGCGAGGCCCCGCGCGTGTTGGTTCCAGGGTGCGGACTGGGACGGTTGGTGTACGAGCTCGCGAAGCGCGGGTACGACGCGCAAGGAAACGAGTACAGTTATTACATGTTGTTGTTTTCGTCCTTCATGCTGAACGCGACGTCGAGGAGGGAAGAGTTTGAGATTCATCCGTGGTTGCACGTTCGCAGTAACCACCGAGCGGCGGGCGACCAGTGGCGTGGCGCGCACATCCCAGACGAAGTTCCGGGCGACGCTAAGCTTCCTCCCGGGGCGTGCATGAGCATGGCTGCAGGGGACTTCTCGGCGGTGTACAATTGCGCGAACGAACGAGGGATGTGGGACGCGGTGGTGACTTGCTTCTTCATCGACACTGGACACAACGTCGTCGAGTACTTGGAGTGCATCGCCAATTGTCTGCGCTCGGGCGGAGTGTGGGTGAACTTCGGACCTCTGCTTTATCACTGGGAAGATTACGAGAGCGAGCAGAGCGTCGAGCTCTCTCTGGAGGAGGTGATCGAAGCGGCGAAGACGTTCGGTTTAGACATCGAACGCTCGGAGACAAAGATGGTTGATTACACGAGCGACCCACGATCGATGCATAGAACGACGTATTCGTGCGAATTCATCGTTGCCACGAAGCGGTGACCGCGCGCGAGCCATAGACGAGTGAGGTTCCAGCGTAGATTCAGTAGCCGTTCCACTCGCTGACACGCCCGCGTTTGCGTCCCGCTCACGTTTGGAATTGCCCCCTCACACCCCGTCCCGCGTCCGCGCGGCGATGCCCCGCGGGGCGTCGAAATCCCCTCGACACCCTCGCGGGTCGTCGAAATCTCCCATGGTGTCACCTCGAGCGACCGCGAACAAGGTGAACGGGGCGAAAGATTCAGACGAAGACGAAGGTGTTGTTCCTCGTCCCGTAAAGATGTCCGCGGTACCGCGCTCGCAGAAGCCCGAACCCACGGATCTTCCCGCGGCGTTACGCGAGATCGATCGCCTTCGTTCGGTGCAGGAAAAGAACGCGACGAGCGCGATGGCGGCGACGAGACGGGCGTTCGACGAGCAGGCGCGTTTGGAGAAACGCATCGAGACGCTCGAGCGCGAGCTGGAGACCAAGTCGGAAGCGTTGACGGAGGGTTCGAAAAGGCATGAGAGGGATCGAGATGAATATAAGAAGGCGCTGAAGACGGCTAAGAAGAAGGCACAGAAGCTGGAGATGAAGTTGGAGGAGCAACGGGAATTGACGAGAAGAGTGGAAGCAGAGGCTGGCTCGCGCGGAGGCGACGCAGGCGGCGGTGGAGAAAGTCAGCGGGAAATCGAGCTCACTGATCGATGCGCGAGACAAGAAGGCGTGATATCGGCACTTCAGGGGCAAATAGATGAGCTGAAGACGACTTTGGAGGATGAGCGGTCGCGGGGACAGTCAAAGGCGAGCGAGCAGTCTGCGGAGATTGCTCGCATAGGGGAAGAGTTGCGACGGGCGTTAGAGGAGGCTTCGACGATCAAGGAAGAGTCTGATATGACTGTTGAGTCCATGAGAGCCGCATTGGAGGCCCAGATTAGCGACGGGGGCGATAGGAGTGGCGCTGAAGAAATTGAGAGTTTGCGCGCAAGAGTGGAGGAACTCAGTGCCGCGGAATCCGCAAGCAAGGAGACCTTGGCCAAACTGAATCTCTTGCAGGAGAAGCATGTCGCTCTGGAACGTTTGTTGGAGAATGAGAGGGCTAACAAGGCGGCTCTACGCTTAGAGAAAGAAGAAGCAGAGAGACGCGTATCGGAAGCCGAAGCCGCTGCGATAAATCAGGAAGAGTTGGATGCGCTCAAGGAGCAACTCTCGCAACTTGCCTCTAAGACGGCTGAACTCGAAGGGGAGCTGTCGAAAGAACGAAAGTTACACGTGGAGACGAAAGAGAAAGCAAAGAAGGCTGAGAGTGATATGTTTTTAGTCCGAAATACGTCGACTGCTGCAGAGAAGGCGATTTCGGCTGCGCGTGCGGCCATGGATTCCGCAGAGGCTCGCGCGACGCAGTCAGAAAAGTTGGTCAGTGAGCGAGACGCCAGAATTCAGCAGCTCTCCATGGATCTTGATAACTACAAGCGTCGAGAAGAACAGCTAAATGCGGAATTGGGTAGCTCTTCTGTCTCGGATCTTCGCAACATGGAGGAAAAGCAGAGACAGATCGACGAGCTTTCGGTGAAAATCGTTGAACTCGAGTCCAAGTCCACGCAAGTAGACGAGCTCAAGCGGGCACTCCTCTCTGCAAACGATGCCGCGACAGCTGCAGCACAGTCAATAGAGGAGAGCGAGGCTGAGTTACTGGAAGAGCGCAAGAGATTCAGCGTTGCAGAGAAGAATTTGTTGGAAGCGCGTCGCTCAACGGAAGTAGCGTTAGACAATGTTTCGCAACGCGATGCCATGGTTCTCAACTTGAAGAAAGAGCTCGAAGAGATGTCGAATCAAGTTAAAGAAGCGCATTTGCAGCTACAGATGGTGTCTGTGAGCTCAGTGTCACAAAATAAGTTGCAAGAACAACTGGATGTCGAGTTGGATGCTGCAAACGCACTTGCGAAAGCCGCTGAATCGCGCGCCGCCGGACTCACATCCCAGCTCAAAATAGCCGAAGACGCGAGGGACGAAGCCGTAAAGGATGTCGCTCGTTTGAAACATGAAGTAGATTTGAGTCAACGCGCTCTTGAAGGGCTCAAGACGGAGCTCGCGAACGCTCAGAATTCGCTCAAGTCGAGTAAAGCGGCGGCTTCGCGTGCTGTGCAAGAAGCTGTTAGCGCGAGTGGACGTCGAGCGCAGGAGCTCGCGAAACAGCTCGAAGAAGCCAAGACCAAGCTCAGCGATGCAAATACGATCATAGATTCGTTGAAAACTGACAATGGAGCTGTCAAAGTTCAGGTGATGGAGCTTGAAACCCTCGTATCTACACTCAGGGAGAATCTTGAAACAATCGAGCAAGACGCAGCGGCGAAACGTAATGATCAACTCGACATGGAGTACATGCGCCGTGAGGAGGATTTACGAGCTGAGATCAGCGATCTCACACTCGAGTTGCAAGAAGTTCGCGAAGATTCGTCGTCCAAAGTTGAGCAGGCAGAGCGGCGAGCTTCTGCGCTCGATAGCCAAATTGACGAGCTTGAGAGAGCGCTCAGTCAAAGCAGGGATGAAATTCGACAACTCACGCAAGATTCGACGCTCAGGAGGGAGAATTTGACACAGGAAACGCTGGAACTTCGCAAGAAGCTCGTTGAGGCGCAAGAAATCGCGGCGAATTCTTCGGGAAGCATAGAGGCTGTCAAACGACGCTACGAAGCTCGTCTACGAGATGCCGGTGAGTTGGCCGAGAAGCAGATCATTTCGCTCGTGAAAGAGCTGGATCAAACGAAGGAAATGATGACACTCGCTCAAAACGAAGAGCAGCGCGCCCGCGAAGAGGCCGTGTGCGCATCTAAGACGATTGCTGAGAAAGAGACAGAGTTTGCCGAGCAGCTCGAGAGAGTTCGCAACGAGCTTCTCGTTGCACATGAGGCAAATCTCAGCTTAACTAGTGAACTAGATGAGATGAAGACTACTTGCGAAGAACTGCGACTTGCGAAGGACGCGATGGAGGACGACTTAGTCGAAACCTGCTCACTCCTTGAGAAAGTATCGGCGAAGGCCAACGACGCAGCGGACAATTACAAGCAGACAACAGCTGAGATGAACGCGACGATGGATACGATGAAGCAGAAACTAGAGGGCGAAGTCTTGCTTGCTATGGACCTTACGAAGGAAAAGGAATTCATCATAAAAGAACTAGAGACACGGCAAGCTGAGCTCAGCGCACAAGTCGAAGCTCTTAAAGAAAAATCTTTGTCAAGCTCCTCAAAGTTGGTTGCTTTAGAAACCAATTTGAAAGAAGCAAGCATCGCCGAGCGCGAGCGTCTTCTGGTTCTTCAGAACGAAAACAAGCGCCTGGAAAAGCGTTTGAAGGATACCTGGACTGCGTTGCAGGGAGCTCACGCTGTAGTGGAGCAAACGAAGACAGCCGCAAAAGACGCAGTGCGCAACGCCAATGCCGCCGCGGCAAAAGCAGAGAAAGTCGCCATCAAAGCAAAACGTGAGCTCGAAGAAATTCGCAGGAGTGCTCCGGCGACTGCAATTATCCGGAAAGTTACTGAAGCTGAAGATGTGTCGCAGATGCAATCATCACCACAGCTGTCGTCGCGGCACAGGTCTGCAACTTCACCTCAGTCGATGTCTCAGAGATCGTCACCAGCGCCAAAACTATCCCCTGTGAAGCCTCCATCCAAAGTACCTTCTCTCGATGACGAGATGCAGCGAGCGAGCGATTTATTAGAAAGACTCAGTCGAGCTTCGAGGGAACCGAGCTTGAGGGACGATGGATCCGTCGGCAAGAGCGAGACCTCGAGCCAAATCGGTGCGGTTGGTGCTGCGGTGTTCGGCTATCGCGGCGCGTAGTAGACGTAAAGTAAACCGCGCGAATTAGCTCAATTAATATCTATCGTAGATCTATAGCATTAGGTGACGGCGATGTTTTCCCATTGTTTGCGCCGAAATCCCCCGAGAGCCCAATAGTAGTACAGAGCGATTGCAAAGATTGACAAGCTGACGAAGGCGTGTACGCCTTGGCTCTCAAGCATATCGGAGAACAGCAGCTTGGTGCGCTTCCAAGTACTCATGACGGGGAAAGAAGACTTGGCTAATGCCTCCATATCTTCCCCAGTCGTGAATATTTTCAACGCCAACAACGCGTCGTCCCAGAGAACCCCCGCAGCCGCTTTGAGTTCTGATAAACGCTCTCGATGCCGCTCCAGTTTTGCTTCATCTGGCGCCAAAATGTCATCAAACGTTATTTTCTCTCCACGATCTTTACAGAAACGCTGAACATGGCGAAACTTAGTGAGCACGTGCATGATTCTCGCATTGTCGCGATATTTGGTCACGTTGTGAAAGTCATTGATGACGTCATCCACAGCGCCGCGCACGCTTGGATCTTGCATGTCCTCTTGAAACTGGTCGTCCTCGATCAGTCCTAGGAGGAAAGAACGCAGTTCTATTTCTTTCGTTAGAACCGCGTGCTTTTCCAGTGTTTCGCGAACGTTTCGCGGCACGCCTTCGTATTTATCGACGCCCGCCTGAATCCAGGAACGCATGCGAACCTCCAACGGATCAGCGCGCGAGCCGCCTCCGTTTTTGCCTGTCGACCATTTCCTTGGCACGTCATCGCGAGGCGCGGCGATGAAACTCCGAGCTCTGGGCGATTGCATCGCTTTTGCAGCCGAATTTTGGAGTTTGCGCTTCACTTCATGAAGTTCGGAGTTGTCGGGTAACATATCCGCTGCAGTCAACCCGTCCTCGCTTGTCAAATGTGCTGTCGCCGCCGCGCCGCTCAAGAGAAGGTACTCAACAACGTCCCCCTCGCCCATCATCGCCGCAGACATGAGTGGCGTCATGTAATCAATATCTGCGCAGTCGGATCCACTGGCTTCGAGCCCACATTCATCGATCAAAAATTTCACTGCGCCGTACCGTCCGAGAGCGCACGCAACGTTGAGCGCTGAACGCGACACGTTTGCTCCGCCCGCCCCACATCGCACGCGCGCCCGTTTCGGATCGACCCCAGCCTTGATCAACAATTTCCCGATTTCAACGTCTCCACGAACGCACACCGCCTCCACGAACGCGTCGCACCCATCGACGTTTCTCGCGTTTGTCTCCGCTCCTCGCGCCAATAGCGTCTCCACCGTCGTCGCGTCCCCTTGCCTGCACGCCGCTATCAGCGGGGTCTCGTCCCGCCCATCGCACACATCGATCCACGCCTCGCACTCGTCGATCAAACATCTCACGCACGCGTCTCTGCCGTTCGCCGCCGCATGATGCAGCGCAGTTCGTCCGTCGTCGTCCTCGGCGTCCGCATCCGCGCCTTTCCTCATGATCAACGACTTTAGCGCGCGTTCACTCCCAAGCGCCGCCGCGTGATGCGTCGCCGCGTGTCCATGACGATCTCGATCGTCAACTTTCACTGAATCGTTCCCGAGCACCGCGTCTAAGGTCTCCACATCGTCCTCGCGTGCGCTCTCAAAGAAATCATCCAGCGCCTTCCTTCGAGCCTCCGCGCTCGGCGGCATCGTGTCAGACGACCAGAGCGCACGACGATCTGTGTCCACGACAGATAATACGTCGAGTGCGCGCGCGAGACGCGGTCACGGACGCGCGCGCGCGACTGAGGCGACCGCGCGCGCGTCGATGCGTTTTCGGTTCACGCGACGTACGCAAACCCTATACCCTATACCCTAACACTAGGGGTATCGAGGACGCCGATCTCGCGCGAGCCGCGTCGCCGCACTCGCCCGCGCGCTCGATCGCTCTCGATGAGCGCCCAGGAGGTCCCGGATGATCACATGGGCGACGTCAAAACGGGCGCCCCGCCGGAAGCGACCCTGGTCGTCCTGAACGAACCTCTCACGCTGGAATCCGGTGACGCGATCGAGCGCTGTGCGTGCGCATACACAATGTACGGCGAGCTGAGCGCGTCGAGAGATAACGTCGTGCTCGTCGGCCATTCGTTGACGTCGAACTCGAACGTACGCGAGTGGTGGGCGGAGTGCGTGGGTGAAGGGGACGGATACGCGTTGGATTTGAGTAAGGATTGCGTCGTGTGCGTGAACTACCTAGGGTCGCCGTACGGAAGCGCGAGTCCGGTGAGCGTCGATCCGAGGAAGAGCGATGGAGGGGCGTATGGGGTGGATTTTCCAACGCCAGTAACGATCAGGGATAACTGTGCGATGTGTAAGATGCTATTGGATTCGCTCGGGGTGAACGGGGTGCGATGCGCGATGGGCGGGTCGATGGGTTCGATGCTCGCGCTGGAGTTTGCGGCGACGTATCCCGATTTCGTGGAGACCATGGTGTTGATAGCGGGCTGCGGAAGACACACGGACTGGGCGATCGGGATGGGTGAGGCGCAGAGATATGCGATCATGAGCGATGGGAAGTATAAGGGCGGAGCGTACGCTCACGATGACGGACCAAACGCCGGTTTGGCGACATCTCGCATGATGGCCATGTTGAGCTATCGCGCACCGGCGAGTGTGGACGGGAGATTTTCGAGGACGAGCATGAGTGAGTTTAAACCCGCAGAGGAGATAGAGTTGGGGATTCGGGCGCACGAAAAGGAGACGAAGCTGCCATACTTTGCCGTGGAGTCGTACCTTCAGTATCAAGGGAAAAAATTCATACGGAGGTTTGACGCAAACTGTTACATTCAGCTGACTTACACCCTAGATTCACACGACGTTTCTCGTGGGCGTGGGGATTATTTCGACGTCTTGGCGAAGATTAAGCAGCGCGCTCTCGTGGTTGGCATTCTCAGCGACGTCTTGTATCCGTACGCGCTTCAAAGAGAGCTCGCGGACGCACTGCCCAACTCACAGCTTTACACAGTCGACTCGCCCCACGGCCACGATTCGTTCTTGATCGAAATACAGCAGTTGAATCAAGTTATGGCGAAGTGGCGCCGCGGTGAGTGCGTGGACACCCGTCAAGGCGTCCCTGATTTCACCGCTCTCGAAAGCTCGGAAGACGTGCGCGAGCTCCGTGAAGGCATCAAACGTCTTCGCGAGGAGCTCACGACCGCTGAGCTCAAGCGCGAACGCGCCGAGGCCGCTCTCCGAGCTGCACTGGATCCTGCACAAAACATTAGTGGTTCGGCGAGCGCGCTCCAGCGCTCCGCATCTGTCGGCAGCGCCCTGAACCTTCCCGGCGTCATACTTCCGGCGAACCCGTCCGGGAGCGAGACCCTGCGACTTCCGGTCTTTGGCAAGCTCTCTATCGACAACGACAATTCGTACGCCGGGTTCGCAGCCTTCTAATACGCGAATCCGATGGACGATTGCGTCCCTTGTAACCTCACGGTAAAAATTTGTACTCTCGCGCGCTCGAACGCCGCAGCGACAGCCCTGCACACACCCTCATCTATCGACGTCTCCGAGCATCCGCTCGCGCGGACACGCTCGCTCGAAACGTAAGTGCGATGTCATCGGACGTGCGACGCGGTCCACTCGACGCCTTTCTCGTGCGCACGACGATGCCGTCGCAAACGTCAAAAACAATCATTTTCAACGAAACAACGCGCTCGGAGGATGACGACGACGACGACGACGACGACGACGACGACGACGACGAGAACGTCAACCCGGCAACGTGCGCGCTGTGGGTTCGTCTAGTGGAGGCGGGCGGGCGCGCTCGCCGCACGAGCGAGAGCGGCTGCGGGACGACGACGGCGGTTGACGGCGCGACGGCGGTGAAGCGAGCGGCGTACGCGTACGGCGTGAAAGTACGGAACGAGCGACGACGGGCGGAACGCAGCGCAAAAGGGAACGGTCGGTCGGTGTTGCACGATTTAAATACGCGTGCGTATTTACGAGCGAGCGCGAGGGCAGAGAGGCGGATGGGGGCGTCGGTGAGCGGAACTGCGGCGCGGGCGACGGTCGAGTACGGAGCGTGCGCGCTCCCGCACGTGTCATCGGTTGTGACGTCAGCAGCTAATAACGCGGTGAGCGCAGTCGAGTTCGATGTAAGCGGAGAGCTGGTGACCACAGGAACGGTGGCGGGCGCAGTGGACGTACAAGAGGTAGCGACGCTTCGCGCACACTGCGGTGAACTGTACGCGCCAACTTTAAAACTCGCGACGGGACGGTACATTGAGTCTCTGCGATGGAATCGCGATCGTTCCATGATAATGACAACTTGCGATACGTCGAATACCATCGTGGGGTATCAGGGAAACTCGACGCGCGTGCCTGGCCCACGAGGTATGGCGCAGCAGACGCTCGTGTTGCACGAATTCAAGGCACAGACGGCGACAAACGAACCCGCCGCAAACGGTTTGCGAGAGATGCTGTTTGATCCGAGCGATCCGCATCGTCTCATTGCGGGTGCTGGAAATGGGCAGGCGTACGTGTGGGACACCCGTTCGGCGGGCGGAAAGCAGACGGCACAGTTGTGCTCACATGTAAAGTCACCGATTTCGTCAATCGTGATGTCCCAAGACGGCCACACCGTGATCGGCGGAGATGCGGTGAACGGTGAAATATTGATATGGGACATGCGAAAACCCGCCGCGCAGGGTTCTGCGGTTTTCGGTACGCTCGGTGACAAGGCACAGCGCTACGGTCTCATTGCTCAGCTGAGCATGGCAAAGCTCTTGACCAAGACTGCGCTCGGGACGGAAATGAAAATAGAGCACACCGGGGTGCACTGGATCGATTACGATCCGTATGATCACAGAAGACTTGGATTTCACCTGACCAACGGTTGGAGCGGCATAATCGATCTGATGCAACCGTGCGTGACGCACGCGCACTGTCCGCCACCGCCTTGGCTCGAGGCACCTAGACCGGCAAACTTACCCGAGGGCACGCTATTGCCCGGCATATACGATTTACCGACGAGCGACTTGAGACGTCGAAAGGCATGCTGGCTACCGGACGGACGATCGATCGCCGTCGGTCTCGGAGTAAAGCCTGGTGTGAGAATTTTAGACCTCTCGTCGTCAAAGTCGCGGCATTGGGTGCATGGTTTGACAGTAGCGGATCTCGATTGCGAGCCCGAGTGCGGGTATGCTTCGGGGCGGCCTCCGGTATTTGTCGAGACATCGACAAAAATATACACCGTCGCTGCACATCCTTATCACCACGGCGAGATCGTCGCTGGTGGCGAGAGCTCACTGAGTTTACTCGGATATCGACTCTCGGCGTCGATTGGTGACAAAGACGAATCTATCTCCGACGTTGGGACCGCGCGCACCGAGGACTTGACCGAGGCGTGAGACCATAGAATGACTAGAAGTATAGCATGTTATCACAATTCGTTGTTGTTAGCGAGGAAAAAATTGAATGGGCCCACAAACTAGCAACAGCTGGCCCTTTTTGTCGCCGCTCTATCGCCTAAGTTTATCGCGTTGGGCGCGCCCAAGCCCTTCGATCCGGTCAAGCGATTCTTGATATCCCCGGCGATTGTCATGAACGCATCGTTCACATTCACGCTCGACTTGGCGCTCGTCTCAAAGAATGGGATCCCGAACTCGTCCGCCAACGCCTGCCCGCGCGCCTTTGAGATTACTCTTTTATCCTCCTTCACATCGCACTTGTTTCCGATCAAAATCTTGTTCACATTCGAGCTCGCGTGTTGCTCAATATTTCGCATCCATCCTCGAACGTTCTCAAAGCTCCGCTCGTCTGAGACGTCGTACACCAACAAAATCCCCATGGCTCCCCTGTAATACGCCGTCGTAATCGTTCGAAACCGTTCCTGCCCCGCGGTGTCCCAGATCTGCAGCTTCACCCGCTTTCCTCCGAGCTCAACCGTCTTAATCTTGAAATCGATCCTGCGTCGCATCGCGAGCGTCGCACGCGTCAGTCATCCAGTTCGCCCCACCGGTCTCGCGCGTCGCGTCGCGCGCGCGCTCTACACCCACCCGATGGTCGTGATGAAGCTCGTCGTGAACTGATCGTCGCTAAACCTCAGGAGCAAACAACTCTTCCCGACGCCTACGTCATCGAGCGCGGCATCGCTCGTCGTCAGTCTTCCTCGGCGTCGAACGAGCCATAATTCGAGTCGACACGCGTCGTCCGCGCGCGCCTCCCGCCTCGCGCGCGCGCCGCCGCACCGCTGTCACCGATCAACAGGAGCTTTAACAGATGATCGTAGTGCGCCCCGTTCGCCCCGCCCCCGCGCGAGGACGAGGCCGATGCGGACATGACGTTCACGGATGGATGTGTCCACGCGTCGCGCACTGCGACCGCATCACAGCGCGCATCGGTGAATCGCTCGATCGCCCCGCGCCGACGCGCCGGACGCGCGCGCGTCGACGGCGATGAAGTTCGAGGGACACGCGATCGGATACGCCTGGGCGTTCGCCGCGGCGACGGCGAACGCGTCGCAGGATAACCTGAGAAAGCTCGCGAGTGGACGGGCGCGGCCGGTGGAGATCGTGGCGCTGAGCGAGATCGTGAACGTCGTCGTCCTGGGCGCGCTGGTGCTCGCGCGAGGGAGAGGCGAGAAGCTGATCGAGGCGTACGGGCAAACGGAGCTCGTGTTGCTGGCGCTCGCGGCGGGGGTGCTGAAGTTTGCGTGCGCGGCGGCGCTGCAACACGCGCTGCGGTTGACGCCGCTATCGCTGTGCGTCCCGTATTTCGCATTCACGCCGTTGTTTTTGCTGGTGATGAGTTTCTTCTTGGTGCACGAGACGCCGACGGCGCAAGGGGTGGCTGGGGTGTGCGTGATCACCGCCGGAGCGTACATGTTGAACGCGAACGGGGCTACGGGTGAGGAGGGAAAGTTGGAGAAGAGTCCGAGGTTAGAGGAGGGAGGGATCGTTGCGGAAGACAGCGTAAATACATTCGGTACGAGAAGACGCCCGAGTGCCCGAGGACCGCTCGATCAGTTGGTGCCCGCAGGATCGTCTTGGCACTTTGACGACGCCGAGCTCGCGAAGCGTGGTTGCCTTAGACGTTCGCTCACTACGCAAATGTCCACCTTGCGGGCGAATCCCGGGAGTTTAATCACTCTCGGCATCGCCGCAATGTACGCGCTCGTGGCAGATCTGGATAAGCTCGGCAAGCTGCACACGACGGATTTGCTCGTCTTCATGTTCATGCAGCGCGCGTTTCTCTTAGTGCTCCCTCTGGCGTACGTTCTCATCCGTCGTCGAGGCGCATTTGTCGCGCTGGCCGCCTCGAAGAAAGTGGCCGTCGCCATAGCCCTCATAGGTCTCCTCGATATCGCCTCCATGTTCGCCTTTCTCGAGGCACTGAACTATATATTCACCAGCTACGCCGTCGCCGCAAAGCGTACAAGCATACTGGCAAGCGTCCTGGGCTCCGCCGTCTTCTTCAAGGAACCCATCGCCCGCCGCCTGCCCTACGTCATGATCATGTTCGCGGGTATGGCACTCATCCTCTTAGCCGACGCGAAGCACTAGATCGATAGACACGAAGAAGAGTTGACATGTATGAAGCATTCGACCGCGACCTGGACTCGCTCGCCCGGCGCACACATAAGTGCTCCAGTCATCGCCGCAGACCTCACTGCCTTCCTCCCCTCGTCGTCTCGCGCCATGGGCGACATCGAGGCGAATGAGAAAGAGATCCAAAGTGCGTTTTGACGTCGACACCGCGCGCCTCGCCGCGCGAGTCGTCGTCCATCGCGCGCGCGTCTCCGCTCGAACGCGCCGCCGCGATGGGTCTTTCGAGCCCGTCTCACTCGCTCCGCCCCCGCGCGCGCGCGCGAGCACGCGCGCTGGACCGCGCGCGCGCACGCAACCGTGATGACTGACGCCTCGCGCCGATCGCTCGCCCGCGCGCAGTATGGAAGATGCGAAAGGTACGAAAACTTTGACGGCGGCTCGAGCGAAAGATCGTTTCGCTCTCGGTTCGCCCTCGTGGCGACGATCATCGATACGACGCGCGCGAAGAGCGAGGGACTGACGGAAGTGCTCTGTGTATTATTCGCGCGCAGCTCATCAAGAAGCTCGAGGATGCGCGAGGAAACGGGACTTCGATGATTTCGCTCGTGATCCCGCCGAAGGGGCAGATCAACTTGGTAAATAAGATGTTGGTGGAAGAGATGGGCACGGCGACGAACATTAAGTCTCGGGTGAACCGACAGTCCGTGCTGGATGCCATCGGTTCGGCGCAGCAGCGGTTGAAGCTGTACACGAAGGTGCCGCCGAATGGTTTAGTGGTGTATTGCGGGGCGGTGCTCACGGAATCGGGCAAGGAACGACAGATGAGGATCGATTTCGAACCCTTCAAACCGATCAATACGTCGCTTTATATGTGCGATAACAAGTTCCATACCTCGGCGTTGAGCGATTTATTGCAAAACGACCAAAAATACGGTTTCGTCGTCATGGACGGTAACGGAACACTCTTTGGAACGGTGTGCGGTAACCATCGCGAAATTTTACAAAAGATTAGCGTTGATTTGCCAAAGAAACACGGTAGAGGTGGTCAGTCCGCGCTTCGTTTCGCGCGCTTGCGTTTGGAAAAGCGTCAAAACTACCTAACCAAGGTCGCTGAGCTCACGACGCAGCACTTCATCACGAACGACAGGCCCAACGTCGCGGGCCTTGTGCTCGCCGGTTCGGCGGATTTCAAAAACAAGCTCTCCGAGGCTGATTGCTTCGATCAACGCTTGCAGGATGTAGTCCTCGCCGTGGTTGATGTGTCTTACGGGGGCGAGAACGGCTTTAATCAAGCCATTGAGCTCTCTGCGGACACCCTTTCGTCGCTTAAGTTTATTCAAGAGAAGAAATTGGTGGGTAAGTTCTTCGACGAAATCGCGCAGGACACTGGCAAGTACGTGTTCGGCATCAACGACACCCTAACGTGCTTGGAGATGGGTGCGGTGGAAACATTGGTCTGTTGGGAAGACCTCGCTATTCAGCGCGTGTCTCTCAAGAACAGTCAGACGGAAGAGGAGCACATCAAGTACCTTCGTCCAGAGGAAATCGCCGCCGACGGGAACGATCACGTACGCGATGCCGACGGCAACGACTTGGAAGTTGTCGACACAGTCCCATTATTGGAATGGATCGCTGAGGAGTACAAAAAATTTGGCTGTGTTTTGGAGATAATCTCTGATAAGTCTCAGGAGGGCAACCAGTTCTGCCGAGGCTTCGGGGGCGTCGGTGGTTTATTGCGTTACCAAGTTGACCTCGCCGCTTTTGAGGTCGCCGCCGACGCCGACTCCGACGCTTGGGACTCCGACGACTCCGAATGTTTCATCTAAGCCCGCGTTGCTTCCAGACACCCATGATTTCAATCCACAGTAGTAGCCACAGACACCGTCCTCTGCGCTCGCCCGCTTCCAAATGCACTATCGTCCAATTCGAGGCTCCCCACATACGCACGCACGGACCTCCCCCGCGTCGACGCCGTTCCACGACGCGGACGATTCCCCGTGACCCGTGCGTTGACTCATGACATCGTACGCCCTCGCGGCGTGGCGTCCGCGTCCGGCGAGTCCCGTCCCCGGGTCCTCGACCGTTATCCCGAGGCACCGCTCGACGCACGCGAAACCGCTCGCGACGTGCGCGCTCGTGGACGAATTACCGGACGAACTCGTCGAGCTCGTCCTCGATCACCTGTGCGGGACGGATTTAGCGCGCGCGGAGTGCGTGTCGAGACGTCTCAGGCGGTTAGCGCTGCGAGACGACGGAAGGTGGAGAGACGCGCTGCGAAGGGACTTTGGCGACGCGTTCGCGCCGCCGCAAGGGGTCGCGGTGCCCAGAGGGGCACTGAAAGCCGAGTACAAAAGGGCGGTAGAGACGCTCAAGGCGATCGTGACCGGGCGCTACGGGGAGTGTGATTCTCGAACGCGCGTTCGGGTCGGGACGCGTATTTACGCGTGAGCTGCTCGGGTCGACCCGCCATACGTGAGCGCGCGAATTTTCGATGGACGAGGCTCTGGACGCGGCGTTGCGGGATGCGAAACGGGCGTTCGGAGGTGGTCGCGCCGGCGCTGGTGGATGGCGCGAGGCTGTCGACGCGTGGATGGGGTTTTATCACGCCGTAGACTGGTCCGAGGGTTGGTTGAAATTACTTCTCTGCGCGCACGTGTGTCTGTTCATTGCGATCGCGTCGACGCGCGGGAGCGATCGGGCGCAGGGTGGATTGTTCTGTATCTGCGTCGTCGTCGTACTCGCGGCGGAGCGGATAAACTCGTTAGGAGACGCGCACTGGGAGACGTTTGCGAGTCAGAACTATTTCGACAAGCGCGGACGGTTCATCTCGATCGTCCTCTCCACGCCCTTGGTCGTGGCGACGCTTTTTATTTTAGTGAACTTGTTGTACATCATGACGGGGATGATGGTCGAGGTCGCGCGCAAGCGTAGGAAGACGGGTGTGAAGAAGACGCAGTGAGCTTTGTCCTCGCTCCACCGATGGTAGAACCATGTATGTTATGTAAAAATGTTGATTCATATTATGGATTGATGATTTTGTTACACTCTCACAACAGACTATTCGGTGCACTTCGAGTGAGGTAAACGACGCGCGTGAGGACGGAAAAGAAAGGTAATGATGGCGCGACGCGCGCTCCCGCAACCATCAGGCATCAAATTTTACTATGTCGTGTTGGACACAAATGTTCTTGACGTGTTCGAGTTTTGACTTGGCATCCGGGACGTCCAAGCTCAAGTCCTCAATCACGCCTTCGACACGAGCGTAACCTTTTTGAAGCTGACTCATGCTCAACTCTGCGCTGTCTCCAAGGACTTTGAGCAAGCCGAGAATGTTGGCGACAATGTTGCTGTCCTTCGGCGCCTCTAGAGCGAGCATGAGCGCTTTCTTGACGAATTCATGATGGAAGAAGGCCATGTGTAAGTCGTGCAAACAATGACGGATTTCCGAGACGTCGTTCGTAACGACGTACTCGTCGAGCATAGACTTGATTTGAAGCTTCGCGGCGTCGAGTGGCGACTTGTCAAAATCGCCCCAAGCGCGAAGCACGCGATCGACATGACCGGGACCAGTGAGGTGACCGTGCGCGAGCAAGAGTGTTTCTTGCGCCGTTTTACCTTCGCACGTGTCCATGGCCGCGACGTTATCCGGGAATGACGGCGGCAACAGATCGTCTATGATGGCTCGAGCGATGAACATTCCCAAAACCTCAGCCGTGTCAGGGACGTCGATCGCCAAATCATCCGCAGATTCCACGAGGCGAACAAAACCGCGTTGGATCTGCGTTCCCGAAAGCGCGCTTGGGTACAGGGCGCTGAGTAGCGTCGCCGCCGCTTCCTTCTCGCGATTCCCTCGATCCATGGCGAGCGTGACGAGGCGCTTGACGAAAAAGTGCTCGTAAACCGGAGCGTCGAGTCGTTCAACGCTCGCCCAGGCCTCATCGATATCCGAACAGTTGAAGTACTCGTCGATGATCGTCTCAGCCTTTCGTTTGTACTCCACGATGACGTCAGCTTTCGCCGCGTCTCCCGGCGTCGACCGCAGCGAGAACGGTTCCTCCGTCGAGTCGTAATTCGGATCCCCAGCGTCGAGCGCGAACACCGGAGACTCATCGATCACGCTCAAAACCTTCACCGTCTCATCGCCCTTTTGTCCCCGACCCGACGCTCGCGAGTGCAGCACCCCGTGTCCGTCCGTCCACTTTCGCTCGAAACGCTCCGCCCGTCCCTCCGCCCCCCTCTGCGCCGCCGCCTCCAACTGCGTCCGCTTCCGCAGCGTCGCGTCGAACGCCCGCTGCTGTTCCGCCGTGAGCAACACCATGCTCCGTCCTCGATCGTCCCCGTGGCCTCGATCGTCGCCACACGCCACGTCGCCCGTCGTCCCCTCACGCGCGCGCGCGCCTTCGGTGCCCGGTCGTTAGTTACCCCGCGCGCGCGTTCGCGTCCACCCCGTCGCGCGCGTCGACGCACGCCCTCGCGTCGAGCACCGCTACCGATGATTCACCGACGCGTCGACGCCGTCGCGCGCGCCGCGATCGCGCGGCGTCGACGCGTCGACGCGTCGATCGAGATCGATCGCCATCCGACGTGTCGACGCCGCGGCGTGTCCGACCGACCGCGGCGTGTCCGACCGACCGCGATGTGTCCGACCGACCGCGGCGTGTCCGACCGACCGCGATGTGTCCGACCGACCGCGACCCGATCGATGGGCGACCGCGCCCCGTGCGCGTGACGTTGAAAACGCTTCGAGTGTTTCTTTCCATCGCCGCCGTCGACGCCGCGCGCGCGGGCGTCACCGTCGACCCCGCGCGCGCGATCGATCTTCGCGCGAACGCACGCCGCGCGCGCGCCCTTGGACGGGGACGGCGCCGCGACGCCCGCGCGTGGTCACCCGAGCGCGATCGCGGGCGGATGTCGAGACGCACGGGGACGATCGGTGTCGCGACCGCGTGCGCGCTCGTCGTGAGCGTCGGCGTCGCGTGGAGGGGGGTGGGGGTCGACGCGCGCGCGAGGCTGGAGATCGTGAACGCGGCGCACGATATCGCGCACGTCTCGCACATTCTGTGCGGGAGCGGGGATCGAGGGAAACAAAAGTGCCAGGATTACGCGGAGATGTTGACGCCGCACGCGGACGACGCGCGGATGCTCGATCACGCGTTCGCGGAGTTGGCGAGGCGGTACAGCGAGTGTCCGACGGGAAGTGATGGTGGGGATCTGGGGTATTTCCCGCGAGGGGAGATGGCGAAAGATTTTGAGAACGTCGTGTTCGACTCGAAGACGCCGGAGGAAACCGTGGTGGGACCGGTGGAGACGCGAAACGGGTGGCACGTCATGTTGATTCATCATCGCCATCTAGCGGACGAGGAGGCGAAGGAACGCGCGAGACAAAAGGCTGAGGAGATGCGCAAGGAACGGATGGAGCGCGCCGAGGCGCAGAAGAAGTATCAAGAGGAACGCGCCAAGCGAAAGGCGGAGCGAGCAAGCCGGCGGCGCCAACGCGATGACGAGCGTCACTCGCTTCACGCCGACGAGTATCACCACGACCTAAGCAACCGCTTGCACGAACACTTGCGCTCTTTGCACGAAGAATTGTAAACTGATTTTGCTATTGCTTGCTCACAATGTGCGATCCAAATACAATCAAGTCGAGTGCCGCGTTCGCGCTAATAATCGTTCAGGAGTTCACGCAAATATCCTGCCCGTTCCGCCAAGTCTCCCGCGGAAGTGGTCACGCCGTAACCATCCATGAGTTCCTCCGCTCGCCAGAGCTCCTTCAAGAGCTCCCAGTACTCTCCTCCGCTTTCCGCCAAGAAGTCGCACGCGTCGGACCAGTCGGGCTCTTCCTCGCAATATGCTCGTATACGAGCAAAGTCTAGATCGTGAATGTCCACGAAAACTCGACGAAGCGCCTCCGCGGTTGTCGACTCGGCCGTCCCGCGAGAGGAGAAGGCGGAAAAAATGAGCTCGGTGAGCGTCGCGGCGAGTGCCTTCAGATCGACGACGACACTCTCCGGCGTGCACAGCGAGCTGCATCCAAAGTTTATCAACCGCACCTCCAGGTCATCCGCCTTTGAATCCATGAACGTACTGCAAAGAAACGTCGAACCATCAATCGCACCGTGCGCGACGCCTCGCTCGTGCGCGAACCACACTCCTGCAAGACACTGCTCGACGGCGCGGCGAACGTACCTCGCCCGCGCCTTGGTCGGCTGGTCCCGAACGCGCTGCACCGGAGGCCAGAAGCCCATCGCTCGCGATGTCTCGCCCTGTTCAGCTCTGGGATACTCTCCCAGCATACGCACGCCGTGCCACTCCTGCGCCGTCCACAGACTTCTTCCGCCTTGGCCGTCCATCGCGGCGCTCGAAAAATACCCCACCAGGCGCGCCACCGGTAGTCTCCGTCTTGGCAACATCCCGGGACCTCTTCCATACTTATCCACCACGATATCCACCTCGTCATCCTCGAGCAATCGTTCATACGCTCGAACCTCCGTCTCCGCGAACGCCGCCGCGTCGACACCCGCGTACTCCTTCAGCATCACAGTCGACCGGTCCTCGTTCGCCGTCGCCTTCGGCGTCGACGGCTCCACCGCCCATCGCGCCGCGTACACGTTCACCCGCGCGTCACCGAGCGCGTCCCTCGCGGTCGACGACGACGACACGACGGACTCCACCGATCCATCCTCCCCGGATCGCCACGCGAGCGACGCGGGCGCGGCCTCGCGCGTGCGCAGGGTCACCGTGGCCAGGCGACTTAAGATCTCAAAATCGTCCGCCTCCGCGGGATCGAGCGCGCGCGCGACGGTTTCGCGTCGTCCGTGACGTCCATTCGCGCGCGTTCGCGCGCGCGTTCGCGCGATGGGCGACGCGCGCGCGACGGGTGACGCCATCGCCGCGCGAGAGGCGATGTGACGTCCGCAGTGGACGACGCGCATGGGCGACGACCACGCCGCGCGCGGAAAGGCGTCGTCGTCCAGGGGACGACCCCGTGGTCGAGGCGACGACGACGAGAACGAGGGCGACGAGAGCGAGGCGCGAGATCGACCGGTCGAGGTATTCGCGGCGCCGACGCTTCAAGAATCCATCGTCGTGCTCGTGGCTCTCATTCTTGGCTTGTTCAAAGCGGTGAAGACGCGGTACGAGTGCTGAGAGCGACGTGAGGGATGTCGAAAGTCCCTCGCGGCGGTGTGGAGGATGCGCGGACGATGGCGCTGCGTAAGGCTTCGTCGGAACGTCTGCGCGCGAGTGTTCCGCTCGAGCGCGCGCGAGCGTTGAATCGACAGCCGAGACGAGCGAGCGGGGAGTACGTCCTTCTCTGGGTGCAAGCATCGCATCGATCGACAGCAAACGAAGCGTTGGAGACGGCGGTCGATCGAGCGAACGTATCTGGGGTGCCCGTGATCGCGTTGTTTTGCTCTACGGCGAATTATCCAGAGGCGAATGAGAGACACATCGGTTTCATGTTTGAGGGACTGTGCGAACTGAGGGAGGCTCTGGAGCGACGAAAGATTGCGTTTTACGCCGTAGCGTGTTCGCCTCCGGAGGCAATCATCGTTGCGAGTGAGCGAGCGGTTGAAATCGTCGTGGACGGGGCATACTTGCGGCTGTTGCGGCGCTGGCGCGAGGAGTTGGCGACTCGAGCAACGTGCACGGTGACGGAAGTGGAGACTGATTGCGTCGTTCCGCAGCTGAGTATGAAACACGCTCGAGCTGAGGTGGCGGCCGCGACGTTTCGGCCTAAAGTACTACCTTTGATCGGGAAGTACACGCGCGTCGCGTGTGCCGTTCTTCCGTACATTTACGGAGCTCTCGATGACGCCACGCGGAAGAGCTTTGAAAGCACCATAGTCGAGTTCGATGTGCTGCCACTTCATCGAGGCGTCGATGCGTGCTTGGGAGTCCTTGACACGCATGGACTCGTGCGAGATCCAAAATGTCCGAGGGTTTCTTCCCACGTAGGCGGACAGTCGCAAGCAAGGGCGAAGCTAGACGCTTTCTTGACAAAGAAGATGCTCTCTCGCTATCACAAATCAAGGAACGACCCGACTCTGTGTCTACAGTCTCATCTTTCGCCGCACATACACTACGGTCAAATCTCAGTCGTAGAGATCGCGCGAAAAACGCTTGAATTCCGCGATGCGCACAAAGAGGACGCAGACGTGTGCGCGAGCATTGACGTGTTCCTGGACGAGCTCATCGTGAGAAGAGAACTGGCCATTAATTTTGCGCTTCGGAATCCGAACTACGACACGTACGACGGACTGCCGACGTGGGCGAAGGAGACCCTCGAGAAGCATGCGGACGACCGACGAGAGTGGACGTACACTCTCGAAGAGTTTGAGTGCGGATCCACGCACGACAAGCTCTGGAACGCATCGCAGCGACAGCTCGTCTCGACGGGAAAACAACACAATTATCTGCGTATGTACTGGGGAAAGAAAATACTCGAATGGAGTGCATCGCCAGAGGAAGGTTGGCGGATTGCGATGGCGCTGAACAATCGCTACTCACTCGATGGGAGAAATTTTGTGAGCTTGACGGGCGTCGGCTGGTGCTTTGGTTTACACGATCGCGAATTCCACGAAGCGAGCATCACGGGCACCATACGGCGCTTCTCAGAATCCGGAATGATGAAAAAGTTCCCCGCCGGCATCAAAGGATACTTGGAACGTTGGGGCGATGATGAAGGCGGGTCGTCGAAGAGGCGACAGATGCGTTTAGAGGACATGTTTTTGAAACGGCCTCGAGTGTAATATATTTCGCGTTGTTTCATAAAATATCATACGCCGGCACCGGCACTTCGCGGCGATAATTATTTTATCGACCGATATTATTCGCAATTTAAACCGTGGTAGTCACGTTCGTTTCAGTTGCAGACGATCGTTGAGCTCACTTTTCGCTTGCACTGTCAGCGCGCGTAAGAAAGTCTGCACGGAACATTGTGCGCCCGATCCAACAGAGCTATACGTCAGAAACGGGAGCTTTCTTAATGTCCGCCCGGAGAAACCATCCGTCGCTTGCACGGCAGTGCGCAGAGCCAGCGATGTCGGGCAATTGGACGCAGTACAATCGTCCAAATCGACAGGCGCTGCGCCATGTAGTAGTCTTCGATCGATGAGCTCTTGGACACAAGACCGAAGAATATTGTACCGTGCATTAAAGCCCGGAGGACCGATGAAGCACTTGATGTCGGCTCGATCGACGAACGCCAAGTCTATCGCTTGCGTTAGATTACTCGTCGTCAGCACGATCACGTTTGGTTTTGATTTGAGCGCGTCGATTTGCGTCAAGAGCGCGTTTACGACTCGAATTGTATCGCTTGGCTCATTCGCGCTCATCGCGCTCGTTCGCGCGGCGGCGACGCTCTCAACTTCATCGATGAGCACGAACACGAGTGCGTTGCCGTTTTCAGCCAACTCACGAATCTGTTTGAAAACTCTGTGTACCTGTTTTGGGCTTTCGGAGTACACCCCAGCGAACAGACTGTGCGCGTTCACCTCGATTAGAAAACTCTCGTCGAAGACATCCGAGAATTTTATGGACAACATCTGAGCCAGAGCCTTGCACAGAGTCGTCTTCCCAGTCCCAGGCGGACCGTGCAGCAACACCACTCGATTCCAAGCGACGACGCTCTGACGGACTCCGCTCTTCGAGAAGATCAAAGCGGTCGAAGCGTACGCCAACAGCCTCGATTTCACGCCGTCGTCGTCAAACTCCAAGGATTCCCACGCGCCCTCAAAATCCAGCGACGGCAGCACCCACTTCTCGCACGCCACCGTCGTCTGCCCCTCGTTATTCGACGCGATCGTCGTCGTCGTCATCTCCTCTCGCGTCTCGCTCACGCGATACGCCCGCGCCTCGACCACGAATTGCCACGGCAACAACCGCCTCGACCGCACCGCCCCCGGTCGCCACTCCACGTCCGCCACGTACACCCGATCACACTCCCGTCGCAACAACGCGTCCGCCGTCGACGGTGGCCCCGCATCGCTCGTCAACTCGGCCCCCGCGCGCGCGTCCATCGACGCCGACGCCGACGCGCGCATCTTCACCGCCGCCACCACGCCCTCCACCGCCCCCTCCCGCCGCACCCGCGCGTGCACGCGCACGACCGCGATCACCCCCGCATCGCCCTCGCTCGCCGTCGTCGTCGTCGTCGCCGTCGCCATCACGCGTCGCCATCGCGCGTCGGCCCGTCCGAGACGTCCACGTCGACGCGTCGATTCGTCTCGCCCGTCGATCGCGCCCGTCGATCGCGCCCGTCGCGGCGCACGGATCACGTATTCCACGACGTTTTCGCGCTATTGGTTAACAGCTGATTTCGATAACTTTTCCATAACTTTGACCCCTTCCTCATTAACTCAAGAGCTGACTCGTCAAAAGGTATTGACACACCTTCATCGTGACGACACCTTTCCCCGAAGTCATTAGGTATGAACGTTCCCGGTAGTCGGCCTGAATCTTCTTATTCCTCTTTTTTGGGCAATACCGGTACGAACAGCCGTATTCCTCTTCGTATCGCCCAAAGCAAAGAGTCAAAATCCGTGGTGATGACGCGCGACGGGGCACCATCCAGCGCGCGACGGATCGATCGTTTTCGGGACTGTTCGCCCACGCGCGTGGACCTCGCGCACGCGCGGCGCCCGGACGTCGTCACCCATCGCGCGTCGACGCGACGTCACGGGCCGACGACGACGTCGCGACGGCGGCGCGCGCGCGGACGGCGCCGCGGACGGGACCGCGACGCGCTCGGTCGCGGACGACGACGCGCGCGATCGGGCGCGGAGGCCGCGCGCTGGGTCCACGGCGCGACGGTGGCGCCGCGCGGGTGGCGCGGGGCGGCACGGCGGGGGTGGAGACGATGGATGCGCGGGGGGGCGAGGCGACGCGACGACGGGGGCGCGGGGGGCACGTCGTCGTCACGGAGGAAGATGTGCGAGGGGTGTTTCATATGCCGATCACGGAGGCGGCGAAAAGGGTGCGTGCGCGAGGACGAGGGCGAGAAGGCGCGGACGCGCCTCGCGGGAATTCGAGCGCGGCGTTATCCGCGAGAGACTGACGTGATGACGGCCGATTGTCTCGTGTTCGCAGCTCGGGGTGTGCGTCACGGTGTTAAAAGTGCGATGTCGAGAGCTCGGTATCGCGCGTTGGCCGTTTCGGAAAATGAGAAAGCTGGATAACATGATTTCCATCCTGGAGACGCAAAAATCGCGCACAGTCGCCGCCGCGAGCGAAGACGAGAAGGCTTCGAAATTGGAAACGATCAAGAAGACGCGCGAACTTGTCTTGGCGCAACCAAATAGCAACGCGCATGCCAAGTTGGGTAAAATCAACTCCAAGTTACGGCGTAAAGTGCTCGAGAGTTCGTCGGCGCGCGAAAACTCAGCCGAGGTTTCTGGAAAATCCGGCGAGTACGGGTCCGTTGGTTCCGGATCTCAGCGATCGGCGAGGACGAACGACGAAAGGCTGACAAACAAGAAGAGATCGCGAGGCGAAATGGAGCAAACTAGCGCTCCCACTCGCGATGATCACGGTAGCCTGGATCAACTCCTCTCCGCGGCGTCCGTCGTGGTTCAAAATGACGTTCATCGAGAGAGCAGCGCTTCACCGGCCGAATCGACGTTCACACTGGCCGCACCGATTATTAGGGACTCTACGGTCCAGCCGTTCCTCGGTGACTTGCTCAAACGCACCCCAGTGAGGCGTGAATTACCATCAAACGTCTCTCGGCCGACGCCGAGGCGCTTTGACATGAACGCCAACCTCCTCCTCGCCGCCGTCGGTGGAACAGCGCTGTAGGCGCCATTTTAGCTCGCCGCCCCGATCACATTATTTAATCGTTTATTGAATTGCCGTGTAGTCATCGCAGAAACGTCGTCGTCGACCGAACCGATCCCTCGAGCGTTCGGCGCGCTCGACCCGCGATTCGAAAATCAAATGTCGACCGGTCACGACTCAGCATCGAGTCCCACGACGACGACACACCCAAGCCCCGCCGCCGCGCCTCGCCGCCGCAGAGCTCGACGACGCGTCGCGAGCGAGGCCTCGCACCGCTCCGAGATCCCGCGAACGCTCGGACGCGCGTGAACACGGCACGTCATCGCGCACCATGGGTAAGACTCCGGCGCAAGAGAACCGCCTGCGGGCGAAGAAGCAAGGGATGTCCCACGAGGACGTGAAGAAGGAGCAAGCGGCGGACGCGAAGAAGATCAAGCAGCTCGAACAAAAGAACGAATCGTTCGGGATGACCAAGGGAGCGGCGATGAACAAGAAGCACGAAGTCGCGATGCAGCGCTTGCGGGACATGAACGATCCGACGACGGAGCTGGGGAAGCAACACATGCGGGCGGAGCGGAAAAAGGCGAAGGAGCAGCTCGAGTTTTTGTTGCGAACTCAAGGTATCGACGTGAAACAACCGCCTTTGCCGGATGGGGTCGATCCGAAGACGGTGTTGTGTGAGTTCTTCAAGCACGGATGCTGTCCGAAGAGCGCAGATCGGTGCAAGTACTCGCACCAGTTGGACATCTCGACGCGGCAGCAGAAGCGAAGCGCATACGAGATCCCGGATGAGGACTCGATCGAGATGTGGGACCAGAAGAAGCTCGAGGCGGTGATCGCGAAGAAGCACGGTCAGGAAGTGAACTCAAACAACGAGACGACCATCGTCTGTAAGCACTTCTTGCAGGCGGTTGAGAAGAAGCTTTACGGTTGGTTCTGGCACTGCCCCGGAGGGGCGGATTGCAAGTACAGGCACAAGCTTCCACCGGGATTTGTGTTTAAGAGCGAACTCCGGGAACGTATGCTCGCGGAGCTCGCTGCGAGGAAGACCGATCAAGATATCTTGCGTGAAAAGCTTATTGCGTTGAAGAAGAGTAACAAGACGCTTACGCCGATGACTCTGGATGTTTACCTGAAGTGGAAGACTGAGCGCGTTGAAAAGATGAAAGCCTCTATCGAGGAGGCGAGAGAAGAGCGCTTAAAGAAGAACCTACTCACCGGGCGCGAGATCATCGAACAGCAGCTTGGCGGATCCGAGGCGCAAGTCGATGGCGGTGCGAGCGCGGCCGATGACGAGATCACTCGTTTATTGAAGGAGCGCAAAGCCGCTGACGAGGAGGCGGAGCGAAAGGCGGCGGAAGAGGCTGCGGAGAACCTAGCGCGTGCGAAGAACTTGGGTGATCTATACAACGTTGAAATGCTTCCGGACGAAACGGACGATTACGCGGACTTGCTGGAGGAGGAGGAAGAAGACTACTCACCGCCAGAGGGTTGGACTCCGGACGCCGTTGCCCCGCCAGGATTTGAGGACGGCGAGTCCCAAGAAGAAGGACAGAATGGAGGAGTGGATATGACCGAGAACGAGAAGAAGGCCAAACGTGAGGCCGAACGTAAGGCGTTGGAGGCTGAAGGCATCGTTCTTGCTGATAAAACGATCAAGAAGGATAAGGAAGAGGAGCTCTTCAAACCTGCTGTGGAAATCCCCGACGAAGCGTTTGAAGAAGCTGCGGTTGATGGTGAACTCGATCCGAAGAAGCTTGGCGAAATGCTCGCGGCAAAGCGCGCTGCAGAGGAATCTCAGCGACAATCCGAGCTCGAGGCGCTTGCGGAAGAGAAAATTCGTAAAGAAGCCGCTAAGGCTGCGAAGAAGGCGGAACGTGAAGCCGCTCGTGCGCAAAAGAAGAAGAAGAAGAAGGGTGATGACGATGGCGAAGATGATAAGATCACTAGCATCGAGCAAGCGATGGGTAAGGTTGATATTGAGGCCACCGGTGCTGCTCTGAAGCGTATCAGCACCGGCGTCTTGGCGTCTCGACCGACCGCTCGGGACATAAAGATCATCAACTTCTCCATGGGCATGGGCGGACGTGAACTCATCAAGGATTGCGACATTGAAGTCACCATCGGTAGACGTTACGGCTTGATTGGTCAAAACGGCTGCGGTAAGACCAACTTCCTTGAGTGCCTCGCTGCACGCGAGGTCCCGATTCCGGATCATATTGATCTGTATCACTTACGCGAGGAAGCTCTTCCGAGCGATCGTACGGCAATTCAAGCTGTCATCGACGAGGTACAAGCCGAAATGGAACGCCTCAACCGGTTCGAGGCACACATTCTCGAAACCACTGGTCCGGACGACGAACGATTAGAGCTCATTTATGATCGTCTGGAAGAAATAGATCCGACAACTTTCGAGGCTCGCGGCTCGGAACTCTTGCACTCACTTGGTTTCAGTCAAGAAATGATTCATCGCCCGACGAAGGACATGTCTGGTGGCTGGCGCATGCGTGTCGCGCTTGCGAAGGCATTGTTCGCGTCACCGACGCTCCTTCTTTTGGATGAACCTACGAACCACTTGGATCTCGAGGCGTGCGTGTGGCTGGAAAAGTATCTGGCTGAATACAAAAAGTGTTTGATCATTGTTTCGCACTCGCAAGATTTCTTAAACGGCGTCTGCACGCACATAATCTGGTTGACGCAACAAAAGCTCACGTACTACACTGGCAACTACGACACCTTCTGTAACACCGTCGAAGAGAACAATATCGTGCAGCAAAAGAAGTACGAAAAGGAGCAGGCTGACATCAAGCACTTGAAGGAGTTTATTGCATCGTGCGGTACGTACTCCAACATGCGCAAACAAGCCGAATCGAAGCAGAAGATCATCGATAAGATGATGGCCGCTGGTCTGACGCCGCCGGTTGCGAAAGAAGCCGACTTTAAGTTTGACTTCCCCGATTGTCAAAAGGTCCCGCCGCCGGTGCTGCCATTTGCGAACGTATCGTTTGCGTACAATGGCAAACCTGAGAACTTCCTGTACGAAAACTTGGAGCTTGGCGTCGATTGCGACACTCGAGTCGCGTTGGTGGGCCCGAACGGTGCCGGTAAATCCACGCTATTGAAACTCATGACTGGCGAGCTCACGCCGACGATCGGTACGGTCGATCGCCATCCCGCGCTCAGCATTGGCAAGTACCATCAGCACTCCGTCGACGTGTTGAACAAGGACATGAATCCGCTCGAGTTTTTCATGGAGCAGTACCCGAACACGCTCACGTGGAAGCGAGAGTACGAAGAATGGCGGGCTTACCTTGGGCGATACGGCATCACGGGTCGTATGCAAACGCAGAAGATTGGCGAACTCTCGGAAGGTCAACAGTCGCGTCTCGTGTTTGCCATGATTTGCATGCAACGCCCGAACTTGTTGCTCTTGGATGAGCCGACGAACCACTTAGATTTGGAGGCGATCGACGCCTTGGCCGAGGCGATCAAACGCTATAACGGTGGTCTCGTACTCGTCTCGCACGACTTCCGTCTCATCGACCAAGTCGCGAACCAAATTTGGGTTTGCGAGGACAAGACGGTGAAAATCTGGAATGACGACATTCGAGCTTACAAGAAGAAGCTCGCCCGAAAGGCGGAGAAGGAGGCCGAGGAGCGCCGCCTCAAGGGAAACAAGTAAACGAGTTGATACATATTTTAATATTTCACAACCTAGCGAGACATTTCACGCCCTGCCGACGAACGCGCGCGCCATCAACAAAGCCGCGTCCGCCGCGCCTAGAAACAACGTGAGCGCGCACAGCGCCGCCATCACCGCCAACGCGTTCCCGACGATCCCCCTCAGCGTTCCCCACGCAAACAACCGTTCGCTCGGCCATCGCAGGAGCGGGGTGACGTCCCTCAAATTCCCAGGTTGCCGCGCGAACCACCGCACGACGGCGTCCAGCGGGCTCGGCCGCCCATCGCTCGGCGTTCGCGAGAAATCGCCCGACGACGACGCGACGACGACCTCGCCGCGCGCTCGAGCCCTCGCCGCGCGTCCCACCGCGCCTCTCTCTCGCGCGCGTCTCCCTCGAGCGGTCGACACCACGCCCGCGCGCGAGAGCGCGACGGTCATCTTTTCAGCGCGCGCGCGTCTGACGCCATCGCCTCGCGTGGACATGTCCGCCGGCGCGCCGCGCGTCACCGCGGACGCGCGCGTCGTCGCGCGCGGTCTCCCTCGGCGCGCTCGCTCGTTCGAGCGCGCGTGGACGGCGCGACGGGCGTCGAAAGCGCCGCGCGTGGACGACGTCCCACTCACCGAGTGGGCGCTTTCGACGAAGGAGAGCGTCGATGGGGGAGATTTCAGGCGCGCGCGCGCGAAGGAGGCGTCGTTGAGATCACCGTTCGGCGCCGAGGCGTTTGCGTGGGCGTATTGGCGAGGGTACAGACAGATGTTCAACGCGCTGGGGTATCCCGGACCGGACGCGGAGGCGGAGTGCGCGGCAACGGTGCTGGCGCCGAGCAAGCGATTGCTCGACGCGAGCTGTGGACCAGGGTTGATCACGGAAAAGTTAGCTAAAGCACCGGGGTCGTTTACATCCGTGATCGCGATCGATTACAGCGAGGCGATGGTGAAGGAGGCGCGCGAGCGGTTGGGAGACGACGCGCTGGCGTGCTGCGCCGACGTGAGTGATTTACCGTTCGCAGACGAAGTCTTCGACGCAGTGCACTCCTCGGCGGGGGCGCACTGTTGGGACGACCCTGTCAAGGGGTTCGTGGAGCTTCACAGGACGCTGCGACCGGGTGGGAAGGCGCTCGTGTCGACGGTGGTGCTTCTTAAGACAACCGGAAGCGAAGAGGATTACACGCGCAAGCGAAAGTCCAACACACCCTTCTGGAACGAGCGCGCTGTGTGTCGAATGATGGAATCCGTCGGTTTTCGCAACGTCGAGGTCGTCAGAAAGGATAAGTGCTTCGTCGCGATCAAAGCGACAAAGTGAATATCGGAAATCAACTTTGTATTGTACGCACACGCAGACTCAATAGCCTAATGAAGCGCTCGCTCATCGATTGAGGATCTGTTTCAACGCTTGATCGATGCGCTCGTACTTGAACTTATACCCGACCTCGAGCGCGGTCTTCGGTTGAATTCTCTGACCTTGAAGAACCAAAGTTGAGCCCTCGCCGAGGACAGCGCGCAGCGCGAAATCTGGCACCGGTAACCAGCTCGGCTTTCCTAACGTTTCCCCAAGAGATTCACACATTTCACGCATGCGCACAGGCGTTGGAGCGACGCAGTTCACCGGCCCGACGAGTTTTTCATTCGTCAGACCCTCCATGATTAATCCCACGGCGTCGTCCCGATGAATCCAACTGAACCACTGCTGTCCGTCGCCGAGCGGACCACCCATGAACGCCTGAAACGTCGGCACCATCTTCCCCAACGCTCCTCCATCTCGGTCGAGAACAATGCCAAGACGCAAAATCACCACCCTGCACCCCTGCGCGCCGGTCGCCGCTTGTTCCCAAGCCTGACACACTTGGCTCAGGTAGTCAGCGCCGGGTCCGCTCGCCTCATCGTACGTATCCGTCTCGCTCGTGCCGTAGTACCCGATCGCCGACGCGTTCACCAGTACCTTTGGTCGCTTCGACTCGTCGGATATCGAATTCACGTGATCGACGATGGTCTTCGTGGTCTTGACGCGAGACGCCATGATTTCGCCCTTCACCCTCGGGTCCCACCGCGTGCTGATCGGTTCCCCGGCGAGGTTTACCACGTGCGTCGCACCCAAGATCCCTCGACGCCACTTCTCCGGCGGCACGAACGCGACGTCCCCGCGCGGCATACCGCGTGCCGACAGCTTGGATTTCGCCTTGCTCACGTCTCGCGTCAACACGCGAACCTCCGCGCCCGAGCGCAGGAGCGTCTCCACCAGTTTACTCCCCACGAAACCCGTGGCTCCGGTCACGGCGACGACTAATCGCTCGGGCGTCGTGCTCGACGTCCCATCCTCGCTCGCCGACGCGTTCACGCGTGTTGGTGACGCGCGAGCGAAGCGAAAAGGTCTCTGCACTCGCGTCTTATCCGTTCGAGTGGCCGGACCGCGACGCGACCCGCGCGCGTGGGACGGCGCGCCGGCGGCGCCGCGTGAGAGCGTGTTTGCTATCGTCATCGCTCGCGACGCGCGCGAGGAGACGAACGAGGTGACGTCTGTGCGGTGAGCCGCGGTGTGGAGCGCTTGCGCGAGCGGAGGAAGCGGTGCGCCTTGGCGTCCGCGGGCGAGAGCCTGCGGGATGGACACCAGTGCAAGGCGCGCCGAAGGAAGGCGTTGAATGCGTTGCTTTGAACGTCGACGATGTGTTGAGTTCGATGCGGACGTTTTCGGAGGGATCGCACCAAGGGAGACTCGGCGCTAGTAACAGAGGTGTCGTCCAGCAGTGTCGAGGTGGACACGTGACAATCGACCCGCCGATTGGGATGCGATGCCTCGGTGATCATACGTGTAGGAGGTGGACCAATGAGATTGGCGATGATGCTGAGTTGCTGCGCCTCATCATCGCCCACGAACAGCGTGCGTCCGGTTGCGAGCTCGGCGAGTACGCAAGCGAGACTCCACATGTCGATGGGATGACCGTACTCAATCCCTAGCATAACCTCTGGAGCGCGGTAAAAGCGACTCTGGATATATGTAAACGAGCTATGACCTTCGAAACACGCACTTCCGAAGTCGATAAGCTTAACATCGAAGGTCTCGGCATGCACAAGAAGGATGTTCTCGGGTTTTATGTCGCAGTGCACGACGCCAATTTGTTTCAGGTACAGCAACGCGTCGACCATCTGTGTCGCGATGTGTCTAACGTGCTCAATACGAATTCTCTCGAATTTGCGTGCGGCCAACAGTTCATACAGGTTAATGTGAAGCAGCTCGAGCACCACGCATTTATGCTTGCGAAACGAAAAGTGCTCAAACATTTGCACAACTCGAGACGATCCAATGGAAGCTCGCTCAAGCGTTTTAATCTCCACTCGAGTTTGATCCTTAAACATTGTATCGACCTTGATCATCTTGACCGCAACTCTTCGGCTGTGCTTATGATCGTAGCACTGAAAGACTTGGCCAAAGTTCCCGGCACCAAGCAAGGAAAGCAACTCAAATCGAAACGCGATATGCTCGCCTTTGAATGATTTCACGCAGTCACCATGCACGCACTCGCGCGTCCCGCAGCAGTCAAGAAATTGCGATCTATCTGTTGTGTCTCCGTCCGCGAACACGTCGACTGTGGGAACATACCACACCCAGTCATACCGTTCAATTTCAATACGATCCTTCTTTCGTAACCTTTTCCAAAGCCTTTGCAGCACCTCTTTAGCGAGCATTCCCCCTTCCTCATTGGGATGCGTGCGCATATCTCGACGACAACATCGTTTCACGTCGGACTCTCGCCTACTTTGAGCTGTGAGTGCCGTTGCTCCTGCTCCGTGTCTGCGTGCTGACCGAACACTCAACGGCGGTAGCGTTGGAGTAAACCTTGGAGTGACCGCGCTTGCACACAAGTTACGATGAGAGCGTACGTTTTTCACTTGTATGCGATCGTATCGCTGATCGCAGCCCGCCTTGCTATTCGTCGATGCTTCACACCTCGATTCGAGTTTATGCCCGCTGATAGTCTGCAGCTTGGTCAGCTGCAAGCCTCTGTGAGGAGCTGTGTTAAGAGCAACGAATGAAGGCGAACCGACAGCCGGTTCCGCCTTCAGCGACAAGTGCGGGAGCACATAGACGCGGCCATTCGATGTTCGCCTCACGGGCATGCGACAGTGAGGATCTCTCGCGAGAGTACGAGTATAAATAGGATGCGTCAATTTCTTTTCTACTGTAACAAGTCATCATGAGTGCTTAGCAGGTCGAGTCGTAAAGCGAGTGACCTCAATGAGTTTGTCCGTCAGACGCACCTTTCTCGCGATTTTTTTTCGCGATCTCGAACGCCGACATGAGCTGCTTCTTGGCGGCTACCTCTCGTAGGAGGCCAAAGATGAACGGCAGGTAGTTCCATCTCCGACGAATGTTTTCATTCCGCCAGTCTTCCGCTTTCGACTCTAAATACGCTAGTTCTGAGCTAAGTTGTGTAATTTCTTTCGCGAGACTATCGCCAATACTGTCGCCGATTCCTTGGAGCTCTGCTATTCGTTCTCGAAGCGATATCCGTTGATCCTTTGTAACCGCCAGGAGATTAAACTTGATCTCATTCGTCGAATACGCCGCGATTCTTCTCTGAATCGCGGGCACTGCCACGTCCAACCAAGTTTTATCATCATCTTCATTTCCGAAATGTCCATGGTTGATCGGTCCTTGTCGAAGCCCGTCGAGTTCATACACCACCTTCCCCTTCGGCACGTAACCGACGAAGTGAAAAACGTCGTCGTCTTCCCTCGCGGGTCTGGATTGCAACACGATTGGTTCCGGGCGAGCGAACGAGTTGTGTGCATCCCGGATCACATCTGAATTCGAAATAGCGAGCCCTTTCGTCTCCGCGTCGAATTCGGATGTGAACTCTTTGAAAGCGCTCAGCGTCTCGCCGAGCTCCAACTTGTCGTCCGCGTTCAACAGGACACTCAGCACCGCCTGCGTCGCGCACGCGTTTTGGATCATCTGCCGGGCGAAGAAGACTCCCTTTGATTCCGCCTCTGCGTCGATCGCGCACACCTCGCCGCCGTCGTCGCCGCGATACTTGAAGAGGAAAATTAAACCGTAAATTGGTTCGAGTCTCTTGAGTTCGTCAGCTTCGAGCGTGTAGAGCTCCTCAAAGGCTACACCGCGCACGCCGATGGCACGCGCGAGTTCGGTGAACACCCCGGGATCGCTCTCTATCGTAGTCCACTCCATCAATAGAGGTAGCGCGTCGACGAATGCAAGTGTAGAGGACGAGCACGCGCGCTTGGAAAGGTCTGTTTTAACACACCTTGTTTAACACAGCGAGTGGTACGTAATAACTTTATTTACAGTGCTGTCTGAGCTGGTGGCCTACGTGCCATCGCTTCTCTAATCCATGATACCTTCTGCGGCATCGTCCATGCGAGCCCACAGACCACCTCGACGAGCAACCGTCGTGGCTGGCTCGCTCCGAGAGTTCCTCTCAGAGTAGTCATCAAGCACTGTGTTGGCATTGAGTTCCTCACCGGGTTCGAGCGTTCTACTCTCAACTATAATTTCATTGCCATCGGAATCGTACTCGACAATTTCGAGGACTTCCTCCTCCTCCTCAATCACACCGTAATTCATCGGCTCGTCGTCTTCGAACTCTTCGATCTCGTCTGAATACGTTGTCACAACATCTTTTGTCGTCGTATACGAACGCTGCATTTCTGTTGACACGTCGTATTCGTACTCGCGCTCGGGCTCCGGCGGCGCGTAGACCGGCTTCAGTGGTGGCGGCGGTGCGTACACCGGCTTCGGTGGTGGCGACGCCGGATGTCTCTCTGGAATTTCTGGTAAATCGAGCTTGAACTCTTCGCCCAAGTCAAAGTTCACTTTCTCAGAGCTAACATTCGGGTTTACCGGAACGGGTTCCGGTTTCGCCTTGAGTTTGTCCCGTTCGGTACGCAACTCATTTATTTCAGTCATTTGCGACTGACATTTCTCTTGACATTCATTAAGAAGCTTCTCGAGCTCTTTCGTTTTGCCGTCGTCAGGTTGCGCCTTCGCAGTAGCCGACGACTTCTGCAACTCATTTATTTCAGTCATTTGCGACTGACATTTCTCTTGACATTCATTAAGAAGCTTCTCGAGCTCTTTCGTTTTGCCGTCGTCAGGTTGCGCCTTCGCAGTAGCCAATGACTTCTTCAGCTCAGCTATCTCAACCTTGAGCGTCATGACGAAGTCTTCAGCGCCTTGCGCTCGTTTGTCGCTCATCTTTGCCCAGTTTTCGGCGTACTCTAAAGCCTCTTGACTGGCCTTGAGGTCTTCTTCCAGAGCTGTGGCATCCTCGCGCGCTGTGGCAAATGCAGACTCGAGGTCGGAAACTTTTGCCCGCATCTCCTCTTCGCCCGTACGAGACGCTTCCACCTCACGTACAGCACTTTCTCGCGCCTTCGTAGATTCATGTCGTTCAGCGTCGAGTTCTTCCTGAAGAGCATCGATTCGTTGCTGCAGCGAATCCGACAGCTCTCGACTTTGTTCTTCGTACTGGATGCGCATCGAGGACAGCTCACTTTGTAGTTTTGTGATCTTGACATCGCTTCCCTTTTGAATACGCTGGCTTTCGAACATGAGTTCTTCTTGTTCAGCTGCGAACTCCTGGACTTGCGCGCGAAGCTTTGCTATCTGGACTTCTGCATCGTTCAACTGCGCTTGAGTGCGTTCCAACTTGCGCTGAAGCAAGTCCGCGCTTTGTCTCGACTCGATTTGGAAAAAGTTGAACTCCTTCGCGATAAAATCCTTCTCCAGCCGTAAACGATCAGTCTCCTCAAGGGCATCAGCGAGTTTTTGCCTCAATGAATCGTTTTCGTTGTTCAGCTTGTGCTCTGCGGTAAGCAAGTCAGCAGACTTCGCACTCGAGCGAGCCGCTTCGGCATCCAAGTCATTCTGCATCGCATCGTGCGCCGCCTTGAGCTCCTTGACTTGCATCTCCAGACGCTCTATGTGCGTCGTTTGACTCGTGATTTTAAGTGTAAGTTCCTTTCTCACACGAATAGTTTCCTCAGACGCTATTTGGTGCGCATTTGAGATGTTTGAAACCTCACGATCTCTCGCCGCGAGCTTATCACGATGCGCCTTTGCTTCACGTTCGCGCCCACTTCGCTCCGTCGCAAGCTCAGCTTCAAGGTGATCAATCTTTGTTCGAAGTACGTGGATCTCGCGCTCCAAGTCGCGAATATTGCTGTTGTTACCTGATGACTCGACGGATTTCGCCTTAGCAGTACGTTCGAGCTCATCCAGTCTGAGTCGTAGTTGCATCATATCTGAAACGGCGACATCACGTGAAGACGTCATCTCAGCGAGGTCGCCTTCGAGATCTTCGATGATACGGGCGTAGCCACGAGCGGCACTCTCACGATCGTTTACTTCTTTCTCAAGCGCAAACTTGTTCTCCATAGTGATTTTCTCGATGTTCGTGGTGTGATTACGCTCCATCTCGACAAGCTCTTGCTCGAGATGCGTGATGCGCTCTTTCAATACGACGAAGAGAGAGTCATTAACATCCGAGACTGGCTGTTGATGTTGTAATCGTTCAGCAGCAGACAACGCCGCTCTCAAGCCATCAAGCTCAGCCCCAAGTTTACGTTTATCTTCCTCAAGTTGTGAAATTTGCGCTTGTGATTTTGGGATGAGCGCAAGTTTCAAATTCTGCTCGACGAGCTTTTCTTGTGCGGCCTTGAGTTTTTCGTCCAAGCGAGCTGCTTCGTCTGTACCTGCAGCTCTTTGACGCAACAGCTCGAGCTCCGCCTTTGCTTGATCGTTTTCGAGCTGCGCGATGTGCTTCTTCAACGCCTCGATCTCTTTCATCATTTCTTTTGCGTTGCCACCCTTATCTTGCAGGGTACGGATCGTTGCGTTCGCCGTCATCTTGTGCTTGATCAATTCCGATATAGTCGCCTTGCTGTGCGTGACTGCAATATTTCGGAAACGCGAGTGTTTATCACGCAGACGAGCGGAATTGAGAAGCAATCGCCACAAGAACACACCCCGTTGGGACTTCAGCTGCATGACTGCATCATCGTTAGCTCCTTCCGACGACCGTTCAGCAGCAGACAACGCCGCTCTCAAGCCATCAAGCTCAGCCCCAAGTTTACGTTTATCTTCCTCAAGTTGTGAAATTTGCGCTTGTGATTTTGGGATGAGCGCAAGTTTCAAATTCTGCTCGACGAGCTTTTCTTGTGCGGCCTTGAGTTTTTCGTCCAAGCGAGCTGCTTCGTCTGTACCTGCAGCTCTTTGACGCAACAGCTCGAGCTCCGCCTTTGCTTGATCGTTTTCGAGCTGCGCGATGTGCTTCTTCAACGCCTCGATCTCTTTCATCATTTCTTTTGCGTTGCCACCCTTATCTTGCAGGGTACGGATCGTTGCGTTCGCCGTCATCTTGTGCTTGATCAATTCCGATATAGTCGCCTTGCTGTGCGTGACTGCAATATTTCGGAAACGCGAGTGTTTATCACGCAGACGAGCGGAATTGAGAAGCAATCGCCACAAGAACACACCCCGTTGGGACTTCAGCTGCATGACTGCATCATCGTTAGCTCCTTCCAACGACAAAATCTTCGAACGTAAAGCAGCAATCTCATGCTCGAGACGCTTCGTCAGACGCTCGGCTTCTTCTGCGTCAGCGGTTGATTTCGTCTTCAGGTCTTCAATGCTAATACGCAAGTCTGTTAACTGTCTACGACTTGAGATTGCATCTCCAGACTGACTTGCCCTCATCTTTTCAACATCACCTTCACGTGTGAGCAGCATGTTCTCTAACTCCTCGATCCTAGAATCACGAACTTCTAAGGCGCTCGAGTGACGGAATTTCATCACGTTAATCTCCTTTTTCTGAACTTCACCAATATCCTTCAATTGCTGCTCGAAATCCGCTTGGGCCTGGTCCAGACGTTTTGTAGCCTCAGCCATTTCCGTACTTGAACGTAACTTGAGGTCTGCGAGTTGACGTTCAAACTCTTCAACCATGAGATTGTAACGCGACTCAGCGTCTTCGGCATCCGATCTTACTTTTGCTTTATGACGACTAGCCAAAGCTTCGAGCATATTCTTGAAGTTCTCTTGCGCCTCCCGTTCACCATCGGCTGCATCTTCCGCAACCTGTCGCAATAGACCACGCAGCTGTTCAACTTGAGCTTCGTGATCAGCCTTGACTTTTTTGAGTTCGTCGTCATTGTCCCGTTGGAGCACTCTCAGCTTTTCATTGAGGCCATCAATCTCCGCAGCAAGGCTTGCGTTCGCATCTCTCAGACGACGTGCCTCGTTCTCGCCGTCCGCCGCGGCCTTCTCGCTCACCCGTCTCAGCTCACCAAGCTCAAGTTCAAGGTCGGCAATTCGACGTTCGAGTTCAGCCACTTGCGCAGCGCGTCCACTCAGTGCGGCTTCTGTCTTGTCATGATCAGCAAGTTTGGCTTTCGCATCGAGCAGCTGGTCGTTCAAAGACCTGATGGTCGTGTCGCTTGTGGCCTGCCACCTGCGAGCATCAACGAGCTTCTCGGCAGTATAGGCTTTCACCAGCTGGACGTGTCGATGATGTATTTGTCGAGATTGAAGCAAACGACACATCCAGACCCAGCGCAAAAGGGAACACGTTGACTTGGTGTTCCGTTCGGCGCTTGTAAGAGCGCCATCTTTCGCAGAAAGCTGTGAATTCAAAAAACCGATTTTCTCATTGAGGCCATCAATCTCCGCAGCAAGGTTTGCGTTCGCATCTCTCAGACGACGTGCCTCGTTCTCGCCGTCCGCCGCGGCCTCCTCGCTCACCCGTCTCAGCTCACCAAGCTCAAGTTCAAGGTCGGCAATTCGACGTTCGAGTTCAGCCACTTGCGCAGCGCGTCCACTCAGTGCGGCTCCTGTCTTGTCATGATCAGCAAGTTTGGCTTTCGCATCGAGCAGCTGGTCGTTCAACGACCTGATGGTCGTGTCGCTTGTGGCCTGCCACCTGCGAGCATCAACGAGCTTCTCGGCAGTATAGGCTTTCACCAGCTGGACGTGTCGATGATGTATTTGTCGATATTGAAGCAAACGACACATCCAGACCCAGCGCAAAAGGGAACACGTTGACTTGGTGTTCTGTTCGGCGCTTGTGAGAGCGCCATCTTTCGCAGAAAGCTGAGAATTCAATTGACCAATAGAAGCCTTCGCTTGCTCTAGATCATTCTTCAGCAGGCCAATCTGTTTTTCAAGAGCAATCATCTCCTCCACGCGTTTTGCATCACTATCCAGCTCTCTGGCAGCCTCGAGTGCCTCGATTTGATTTCGGGACTCAGCGAGCTCGCGGCGAAGTGTGATCAAGTCACCAGTTGACGAGGATTTCAACATCTCCCATCCACTCTGCGCTTCCAACAATAACGCTTCAAGTTCATGGATGCGTTTATCACGCAGTCCCAAAGTACTCGCATGCCGGAATTTATTGACTGTATGTTCCTTCTTGTTGACTTCGATGAGATCCGCGATTTGCTGCTCAAAATCTGCCTGCATTTGACGACCCCGCGCTTCTGCAGCTTCAGCGTCAGCTTTCATCCTCTTGCGTAATTCCTCAAGTTGCTTCTCAAGGTCCTCTCGTATTTGCAAGACGCGACTATGCTCGAATGCTGCATCTGAGTTCGCTTTACTCTTCATACGCTGCCTCTCTGCTTCAAGCTCTAGCCTAAAGTCTTCTTGGGCCAAGCGCTCTCGTTCCACTGCCTCGTCTTCCATGCATCGGATCTTTGACTTCAAATCTTCTATTTGCGCTTCATAGTCTGCTTTGGTCTGTTCAGCATTTGCCCTCTCTAGTGCCACCTCGGTCTCGTGCGTCTTCGTTAAGGCATCTATGTCTCGGACAAGCTGGGCATTCGCATCTTGGAGACGGCGCAATGCTTTATCGCTTTCAGCTGCGGCTTTATCACGATTTGCTCGAAGTTCAGCGAGCTCAACGTCAAGACCAGCCACTCGAACTTGACTATCGCGCAATGCGGCTTCTGTCTTGTCATGATCAGCAAGTTTGGCTTTCGCATCGAGCAGCTGGTCGTTCAAAGACCTGACGGTCGTGTCGCTTGTGGCCTGCCACCTGCGAGCATCAACGAGCTTCTCGGCAGTATAGGCTTTCACCAGCTGGACGTGTCGATGATGTATTTGTCGAGATTGAAGCAAACGACACATCCAAGCCCAACGGAAGATAGCTAGTTTCGTTCGCGCGGCCACCAATTGCTTTTTGTTCGCACTCTCAGCGTTGTCAAGCATTTCCCGGAGATTTTGGATATCGGTATGCAAGCTCTGTGTGTTCCCAGAAGATGCAGTTTTTGCCGCTTCTAATGTTGCGTCGTACTCCTGGATCGCCAATCGCGCGCGCTCAAGCTCACGCTCGAGGTCCCCGATCCGTTTGCGCTCTGCTTCAATATCGTCTTGATGAGCGTGCTTGACAGTGGTGAGAAGCTTCTCCAGTTCATCAATCGACGCCTCCTGACTGCTCACCTTCGTCTCAAGCTCTCTAATACGCTTAGTGTGGATATCCTTGGCGCGCGCTTTATCCAACTGCTCTCGGAGCTTCTCGATCTCACCATTAAGCTTCTCTTCAATCTTTCTTGCCGCCTTACTGCTGATTTCCAGTTTCTTCTCAAGATCACGCACTCGCACTCGTAGAGCATCCGCCTCTATTCTCGACAATCGTGTAGCCTCATCAGCGCGCTTCTTCGCATCTTTAGACATATCATCAATTTCTTCTTTGAGTGTGTTGATGATGGTTTTGCTTTCCGTGAGTTTGAGTTGAAGATCTGCTAGTTCTGTACGCGACTTGACATCATCGGCACTTGACTGCACCTTGAGAGCTGAGATGTCTTCAAGAAGCTGTTTCTCCGTGTTTTCAAGAAGTGCGATGCGATCTTTCAACCTTGCGATCACAGCGTTCTGAGATTCAATGATCTTAGCATCATAACCCGCCTTGATCTCGTGATCCTCAGCGACGGCGCGGCTGAAGCCTTTGGAGACGGAGAAGAATCTCTTGTGACGAGCCTGCATATTCGCGGAGAGTATCAACAACCTCCATCGAAGTTTTGCACACTCATCTGCTTTATCATCCTTCAGCTTTGAATGATCGTTTGAAAGTTGGGACAAACGTTTATGAGTTGCAGCGAGATCGGATCGCAACTTCGCCTCTTCCCCTGATAGTCTCGACTTCGTCTGCTCAGCACTCGCCTGGAGTTCTGCATTACCCTCCTCTAACGAAGCCACAAGCGCTTGAAGTTCATTGATTCGGGCATCCAAAGCCTTCTTCGAGTTTGCATTTTTTGCAATCTCGTTCTCAAGTTGTTTTCTGACATTAGCCAACTCTTGCTCATACGACTTTTTTGCATGCGCAAGCTGCCCACTATGTGCCGAACTCTTCCTACGTTCAATATCCAGCGCCTTTTCCACATCGTCACGTTGCTTTCGAGTCTTGCCCATTTCATCTTCGAGAGCTCTTCGTTTCGCATCGGATTCGTCAAGGTCCTTCTTTAGCTTCTCGAAACGATTTTGAATCGCAGCGAGATCGGATCGCAACTTCGCCTCTTCCCTTGATAGTCTCGACTTCGTCTGCTCAGCACTCGCCTGGAGTTCTGCATTGCCTTTCTCTAACGAAGCCACAAGCGCTTGAAGTTCATTGATTCGGGCATCCAAAGCCTTCTTCGAGTTTGCATTTTTTGCAATCTCGTTCTCAAGTTGTTTTCTGACATTAGCCAACTCTTGCTCATACGACTTTTTTGCATGCGCAAGCTGCCCACTATGTGCCGAACTCTTCCTACGTTCAATATCCAGCGCCTTTTCCACATCGTCACGTTGCTTTCGAGTCTTGCCCATGTCATCTTCGAGAGCTCTTCGTTTCGCATCGGATTCGTCAAGGTCCTTCTTAAGCTTGTCGATGTCCCCACCGAGAGAGCGGATAGTATTTGTGGCCGACTCCACGTACACGCCGAACTCCGTTTTCATTGAAAAACCGAACTCGCGAGATACTTGCAAGAAGCGAATGTGACTTTGTCTGAAACGCAGCGCGCGGCAAAACGTGACCCATCGAGTTTGAGTTCGCGACGCCTTCATCGCGGCCATGGACAAAACATGCGCTTGAGATTCTTGGTTGACTCTATCTCGAAGTTCTCCAAGTTCGTCTTCGAGCTTCCTTGAGTACGAAGTCTGCTGCTCGTGCAAAGATTCTTGATAGCCCTGAATAACCTCTTCCAGAGTACTGATTCTCTTGTCTCGACTCGCGAGAATCATGCGGTGGGCCACGCGAGTTGCACCAAACTCTTTCATTTCACGTCTCAGCGCGCCTATGATGTGTTTGCAGTTTGAAGCGTGACGATGTCGTCGGGCGTTGCTTTTCAGCAAGGCGAAAGTAAAGTGCCACCGAAGCACGGCTTGATTCGATTTGCTCCGGTCCAGGGATAAGTGTGCATCAGACAAGGCGCCGTTTGCATCCGATAATGTCTTTTTGAGAGACTGCACGTTAGCCGACGCCTCCTTCAGTTGTTGCCTGAGTTCTTCGATAGTGCTGTTCAGATCTTTTACGCATTTGTCGCGCTCGACAGCCTGTTTGGCAGTGGTCTTGGCGTCTTTTTTCAACGATTCAATCTCATCTCGAAGTATCTTTGTTGTTTGAGTTGCATCGTCGAGTTGCTTCTGAAGTTTGGCGATCGAATCATTGCGAGATCGGACAGTCTTCGTGTATGTGTCTGCGAGATAACTATGCTCAGCCTTCATTGATTTACTGAAATCTTTTGAGACAGTCAAGTAGCGTTCGTGTCGTTTCTTCGATCGAAGGGCCAAACACATCCAAGACCAACGGGCCTGTATCAGTTTTGATCGCAAAACATCTGCGTGCGAACGCACGTCTATGATCTCTTTCTCCAGTGAACTTGAATAGGCCGTCTTCGCCTCGTGCATGGAGGATTGATAATCGTTTACCATGTCCTCTAAGGCCTGGATGCGATTATCACGAGCGGCCAATGCGGCCGAGTTCTTGAACTTGATTGCTTCGGCGGATTGAATTTCGTTCTTAAGGGCGCCCGCGAACTGATTCGCGTGCTCGCAGAATCGACGATGTCGATTTTGAAGCCGAAGCGCACGTACCAAGTACTCCCAGCGAATAAGAGCTAATTTTGAGCTACTATCGGCAGAATGTTCTTTGATGACTTCAGCCAACGAATCTTTACCACTTCTCATCTCCTCGAGCTCTTTCTTGAGCTTCTCAATTTCAGCACTCATCGAACGGCACGTTTTCGTCGCCTCGTAACCGTGTTCAACGAGTTGGCGCTTCAAGGACTTGGCGAAGTCAACCGAAACGCCGTAGTAGTTTGCGTGTCTTTGCCGCATACGCAGTTTGTCGCGCAGTGCGACCCATCTCATTTTAGCGCGCTCTCTCTTCGTTGCTTTCACAAATGCTGCGTACGACTTTTGCTCGCTGACGACGGTGTTTTGAAGATGTTTCATCTCATCCTCGAGATCTCGTGAATACTTCGTAGTTTTCTCATTGATAGACGCCTCGTACTCTTCATTGCTCTTCTCGAGGGCAGCGATACGCTGATCTCGTTGATCCATGCCCGCTTTGTATTCGGCCCTAAGTTTCGCGATGATGTCGCGCAGTTCATCATTTTGCTTGGTGAGTTCAATGTTCTGAGCATCTGCCTTCTTTTGTAGCGCATCATGATGCCGCTGGATAGAGGCAGATCCTTTGACTGCCGCATCAAGAGAGCTCCTGAGGGTTTTTAGAGAATGGGACATTTCTTGTTCTCGTGAAGTCGCGAACTCTTCGTTTTTTACGCATTGTTGCTTGAGAACGCGCAGCTCATTTGCGAGCTGTTGCAATTCAGATTTCGCCTCGTCACGCATTGATGTCATCGAACTCAAATTGTGCTGCAGAAACTCAACCATCTGCTCCAGTTCTTTGATGTCATTCGCGCGTTCTCCTTGCAGTCGCTTTTCGATAGTCTCAAGTTCGAGGCACTTGGAGTCGTTCTGGATCCTAAGCTTGGTCAACTGAGCCTCAAGTTCTAGCTCTCTGGAAACCAAGCTAGCTGCAGGATCGAGGGTCATCTTCTGTTGGAGTTCAACTCTTTCCTTCTCGAGAGTGTCACAGCGCCGCTGCATCGCCAACAGAGACTTTCTCGATGCGATCATTTGCTGCTCTGTTGAACTGGCCGTTTTAGTGCACTCCGAAATAGCCGACTCAAGTTGTGCGTTCTTCGCTTCAAGTCTGCTCAAATCTAACGCCTGCGTATTGATGATGCTGTGCGCCTCCCGAAGCTTCATGATTTCGTCTTGCTTCTGTTGAACTGATTCCTTCTCCTTCTCCCTGAGAAGTCTCCTATACTTTGCAACATCCTCGTCATTCTTCGCTCGTAATTCCCTACATTTCTTTTCCAACGTTGCGATCGTCTGTTCATCAGTGGTGTTTGTTGATGGCAGAGCGCCATCATCCTGCGAAAAATTAGGGCGTCCGGTAAGCTCATCCTCAAGAGACGTGATACGTTGCAAGTCCTTCCTGCGAAGCTCGTTCATACTTTGAATTTCGCTCTTCAAACTGTCCAGCGAGAGTACGAGGGCGTCGTTGGCACTCTTGAGGGTAGTTGTGCGAATAGACGCGCGCCATTTCGCCACGCTGAGAGCCGCACGACTTTTTGACAGTTCAGCAGATTTTTCATCAAGCTCTTGTTCCAAAGCCGTGATGCGCTTCCGCAGAACTGCGCCATTTTCCGATTCTGCGAGAATCATACGGCCGTTTGATGCCAACTCCTCTCGTAAAGCGAGCATGTCAGTATCCTTCGCCTTAAGTGTCTCCTCAATCGCTGCCAACGCCTCCGCAGATGATGTCTTTTGCTCGTCAAACATCTTTTGTAAAGCCGAAAGTGCGTCGCTACTCGCTTGTCGCGTTGCAACGATTGCAGCCTCTGAGTCATTCAGACGCTGCTTCAGCTGCGTGATGACCGCGGTTGATCTGAGTACGTGCGCACTATGAGTTTGCTCGGCAGTGGTCTTGTCCACTTGGAGCTTCTCAACTTGGTCATGAAGAGCCACGTTTTGCCTGCGCAAATCATCGAAGAGCGCTTCGTTGCTTTCATTATCTGCGCGACGTAAATCTCGTGTCGATCGTACTTGAACTTGAGCCTCTGAATAATCGAGCCGCAATTGCTCAATCGTATTCACGCACTCGACAATACGCGATTTCAGGGCGAAATTCTGCATCTTCAAAAGGAGGTGAGAAAAACTTAAGCCACTTCTTCGCTCCACGAGCGTTCTCTCGACGTCCGGCAGGCTCTGACTAGCGTCATAATTGTGACGATCGCTCATACGCAAGTCTCGAATTTTCGCGTTGGCAACTGATACTTCTTCCTCAGCAATGCGCTTGCGGTTGCGCGCGTGCTCCTCGCGAGACTCCGCCTTGGCCAAAAGTTGCATGAGACGCGCAATTTCTGAGCGAAGACCAGACCGTTCAGAGTCAAACACCTTTCTATCTGTCGCGCGCGCCTCTTCACTTTTTGTGAGCTTGGAGCGAATGTAGGTCATTTCACGAACGTGAGACTCTGTGGTTTGCCTGAGCTTGCGTTCGATCACCGTCACCGTATGACATTGTCTCTCGAGATCCTTCTGCAAAGCACTTTTCTCCGACTGGAGTGTCTTTTCCGCATGTTTTAAAGCGCGTTGTGCATCATCTCGCTCGCCTTTCGTGGCATTGAGTTGATCCTTCAAGTCTTGAAGCTCACCCTTCAGCCGATCGATTTCAGCCGACTTTCCATCGCGAGACTTGAGGAGTTCTTCATTCGTGAGCTCCAATCGCTGCTTAGCGGTCTCCAGCTCCGCAAAGGCCGAGTTCGTCATCGTCGTGACGCTAATCGAAGACTTGATTTCGAACGCATTTTTGAGTTCATCTTCGAGCTTTGATATCCGAGCCTCAGCGGCCGTATTTGCGCCCTCAAGCTCCTTGATCTGTCGCTTGAGTTTCGCATTTACATCCTCGATCTGGTCACGCTTGCGTTGTTCGTCCAACGCAGCGTCTTTTGCAGCGCGATTTGCTGCGTCGATAGCAGCATCTAGCGCGCGTTTTGACTTGATGCGCTCGCTCTCTGACTTGCTGCTCAGATCACGCAAGTTCTCATCCATTTGCGCTCTGAGATCGTTCAACTCCTGTCCTAACGCCGCCGTCTTCTCGCGTTCAGTTTTGAGCCATTCCTCGTGCCGCGCAAGCGATGCTTCCAACTTGTCTCGCTTGGTGTGGCAGTCCTCGCAAGATTTGCGCTCTTTGCGGAGAGCATCCTCGGCTTGCAAGGCTCGGATGCGCCAACTGTCGTCCACATCGCCGCCACCAGCAACTTCCGTCTCGCCTCTCCGCAACAAAGCCAACGGGTCAACACGAAAGCTCACGCCTAACGGGTTATCGACGCGCTTGATGAGCGGACTTGAGTTCTTAGTTTCGCCAAAACTGTCGTCATCTTGGCTCAGAGCACCCAACAGTCGCGTGAGCGTGCTCTCCGAATCTTCCTTTTCCGCCGGTGGCGTCGGTTTTGGCGGTGTCGGTTTTGGCGGTGTCGGTTTTGGCGGCGTCGGTTTTGGCGGCGTCGGTTTTGGCGGCGTCGGTTTTGGCGGCGGCGGTTTTGGCGGTTTCTCTCGCTTCTTGTCAGCGCGGGGACGGGAGAGCACATCATCTGGGGCGTCTTTTCTCATGTCCACACCTAGGAGTAACCCCTTGAAAATATTACTCGACTTGCTTCTCCCTTCGTCTCCGCGCTCTCCCGCAACCTCCGCCGGCTCCGAGGCGGGGAGCTCGCACCCTTCACCTCCGAATCTACACTCTGCGCGCGTCACAAACCCATCGCTTCCACTCGTCAGTCTCATCCGTACTCTCATCCATCATCCTCGTCGTCGTCATCGAACGCGGCTAGATCCTCGAACGCGTCGCTCGACCTCGATCGCCTCGCGCGCGCGCGCCGTCGCCGTACGCACTCGCGAGCCATTCAAATTTATCGCTCCGCATCGCCTTCAGCGTCGCCTCCGCGCTATCACGTTCGCCTCGGAGCCCATCGCGTCCGAGCACGCGCGCGCCGTTCCCGCTCATCGCGCGTCGTCCGTCGTCCGTCGCTCGAGAATCCGTTCAGAATCCAAACGATCCCGAATCGGGGCCAATTCTTCAAATATACCCACGTCCCGCGCTTTCGTCCTCGCGCGCGCGCTTCCTTCACCGGTACCGCCACGCGCGCGTCGCGCGTCGCGCGTCGCACGTCGCGCGTCCGTCGTCGCGCGTCGCGCGTCGCGCGTCCGTCGTCCGTCGTCCGTCGTCCGTCACGCGTCGCGCACCGACGCGCGATCGACCGCGCGCGCGTCCGGGCTCGGTCGTCGCTCGACGTCGGTGATCGGTCGAGCACGCGCGCAGTACGAGACGGACGCCCGAGGGCGGGACGCGCGAGGACGACCGACCGCGATGGACACATCGCGTGCACGGTGATGGGACACGCACGCGTGGTGTACGATACACCGAGACGCCCGATGCGCGTGTGCTAGGACGCGCGCGCGTCGGTGGCGCGCGACGGCTCGACAGAGCGCGGCGCCCGGCGTCGAGGACGGCGGCGCGCGCGCGCGGTGGCTCGGGCGCGACGGCCGCGGCGGGTGACCGCGCGCGCTTGGGGCGCGGCGACGTCGACGCGACGGAACGTGGAGGGATCGCGCGCGGAGACGCGAAGAGACGCCTCGCGCGCGGGTGAGGGTATCTTTGACGGAGATCGGGGCGACGCGGTGGGCGTGGAGCGCGGACCGAGCGCCCGCGCGCGGTAGCGGTGGAGACGGGCGTGATGATGCGGCAGCGGGAGACGAAGGAGGCGGTGGCGCGCAGGACGCTGGCGGAATTCGAGACGCAGATCGAGGAGACGGCGCGGCGCACGGGGGACGCGACGACGAGAGCGCGGGTGGAGCGCATGCTGAAGCGCTTGCCGAAGCAGTACGCCATGGATGTGAATTTTATAGAGGATGTCTTGGCGCACGCGGAACTTTTGGGTAGGGTGGAGCAGGAATTGCAAGCGATGGGGGTCTCGTCGGTGTACTGCTCGGTGCGCGAGGTGGAGGTGGGACGGGCGGCGTTCGGGTCACATGAAGACATGATGGACACGGACGGAGGGATCGAGCAACTGAACGTCACGGCGGATAACGGGATACCGATTCGCGCGGACTCTCCGGCTGGGAAGCCACGCGGCCCGACGTTCGGCTCAAGTCTACAGATGACGTCGTCGCTCGGAGGGGACCCCTCGCGCGGGAGCGCGGGCATGTACGAGGTGGCCGTCGCGGCCGGTAATAAACCGCGTTTGCTCTCTCGAGTCTCCGCGGTACTCTTCGATGTAGGTCTGAACATAGCAGAGGCGCACGTTTTCTGCACGGATGATGGACTGGCGTTGGACATTTTTGTAGTCACGGGATGGAAGCGAGGGGAGGAGGCGGCGGTGGGTCACGCGGTGCAAACCGCTCTCGACGCCGCGGATTTCTCCGATATCGTTCCAGCGTCTAGAAATGCCAGCGCGGCGACGCCCAGCGCTGATGAGGGAAGGATGTCCGCGGGGTCGCACGGCCGTTCGACGTCGAATGATTCAGTGTCGATCGACGGCGGCGAGTGGGAGCTCAAGGAGAGCCAACTCGTCTTCAACGAGAAAATCGCGAGCGGCGCGTTCGGTCTTTTGTACCGAGGAAGTTACTGCGGACAAGAGGTCGCGATCAAGGTGTTGAAGAGCAACGCGCAGGAAGGTAACGCCGGGAACGAGACGATGCGCGAATTCGCGCAAGAGCTCAGCATTTTGCGCAGAGTGCACCACAAGCACATCATCCAGCTCATCGGCGCGCTGACCAAGCAAAAAACCATGTGCCTGGTCACAGAGTTTATGCATGGCGGTAATGTGCTGCAGTTCGTTCAAGAGCACGCGTTGAAACTTCACGAGATTATTCGTTTCTCTCTGGGCGTCGCCATGGGCCTCGATTACCTACACAAAATCAACATCATCCACCGCGACATCAAGACGGCAAATTTGCTCCTTGACGAAAACAGTGTGGTGAAGATTGCCGATTTCGGCGTCGCTCGCCTCCAACCGACAGACGGCTCTACAATGACTGCCGAAACCGGTACCTACCGCTGGATGGCACCGGAGGTCATCGCCCACGGATTTTACAACGAGAAGGCTGATGTGTACTCGTACGGTATCATGGTTTGGGAGCTCGAGAGCGGCGGCGAGGTTCCGTATCCGGGCTACACCCCACTCCAAGCAGCGGTCGGAGTTGTACAGCGCGGCTTGCGACCGGCGATCAGCACTTCATGCAACCCGAAGCTGGCGCAGGTGATGCAATCATGTTGGTTGGCGGACGCCACCCAACGACCGGGTTTTGAGCAAATAATATCCCTGCTCAAAAGTATAGACACACAAAAAGCCGAGACGGACGGGAAGCACGGTTTCTTCGATCGCTTACGATCCGTCAGCTTCAAATCGAAGAAAAATGCCCCCGCACGCTCGAGTTAAATCATGGATTACAATAGACCCCGCATGCAACGCACTTTCATTAGTACACAACAATGCGCACGACGACGCTCGCGCTTGCCTCGCCTCAGTCCGCGTCCGCGCGCGTCGCGCGCGCGATGCCGGACCCGCGTCCCAAGCGTCCCCCCGATTCCACCTTGCTCTTCAGAGTGATGAACCCAGAGCTCTTTTACACCGTCCCCAAGCCCGCGCTCGCCGTCGCCGCCGCCGTCGTCGCCGTCGCGTGCGTCAACACCGCGCGTCTCGTCCTCGAGGCACCGCCGAAACCGCACCGCGCCCGCCTCGACGACGACGACGACGACGACGACGACGATTGAGCGCCCCGTCGAGACGGCTCGATCGGCGCCACCCCTAGCGCGCGTTGTATCATCATCCCCACCCCGCCGATCGATCGTCGTCGTCGTCCCGCCCGTCGCCCGAGTCGTTCGAATGTGTTCGTTCGACGATCATCCATGGTGTTGGACCGCACACGCCGACCGCGCGCCCGTCTGAGCGCGCGCGCGAGCGCGTCGATCGCGATGTCCGTCAACTCCGTCTTCGCCCCGCTCGCGGATTCGGCGCGCGCGTCGACCGCGCTCGCGCTCGCGTCGCCCGAGGACGCGGACGCGATCGTCGATGCGAATGAATCGACCGACCGGGATGTGGACCGAGCGAAGCGAGACGCGCGGCGCGATCGCGGACGGGCGCTGTGGAGCATGGTACAGGTGTACGCGATGTTGCTCGTGGTCGCGCTGACGTACAACGCGGTGGCGGGGGCGTTCGCCGCGGGGCGAGAGAGGGGCGTGAGCCCGGAGCGCGCGACGTCGCTCGGCGGCGTCGATCCGAGCGAGATATCGCGTTTTAACGGCAGTCGAATGGGAGGTGGATACGGAGAAGCCGTCGCGTCGATGCAAAGGGCCAACGCGGCGAGTGCTCGCTGGACGCACGTGACGAGGTACGCGATTCGCGGCTCGGCGAATGTCGCGGCGGCGACCGGTTTGAGCGCGTTGAAGACCACGGTTGTGATCGCGCGAGGGAGTGCGGTTTTGGTCGCGAGGCTCTTGGAAAGCGCTGGTGCGGGAATCGTCGTCGATGGAGTCGTTCTCTTAGCGTCGTCGTCGACGTCCGCGGCGCGGAACTTGTGGTGGTTGGCCACGTTCGCGGTGGCTCCGATCTTCGAGCACTCGCTGATTCCGTTGTGGGATTTCACGCTTGATGGACTTGAACCGCTTTACAACTACTTTTTCATCGGAACGATGGAATTTTTCGAGGACATGACGTTCAATCTCGAGCAAAATCTGGCCGGAGTGCTCGACGCGAGAACTCTTTCGTTCATTCGGTGGCCGTTGCGCGTGTTCTTGAATCCGTTCAAGTGGCCCGTGGGTTTCTACGAGGCCGTTCTTCGTCCTGTGTACGACTTTTGCGCCTATCCGGAGTACTTTGACTCGCTTCCCAACCCAGTGGCGCCCGTGGTGAAGCGCACCTTTGGCGAGCGCTGCGTCGCAAGTGCCTGGGGAGAATGGACGACATGCAGCAGCGAGTGCGGCGCCGGTTTCAAGGTTCGCGTGAGTCACTGTGGTAAACGGCAGCACGCTCGATGTGTTGGAAGCGGATTCATAGGTTGCGACGGTGTCTGCAACAGCGGTATGCGTTCCGACTGCAACGGTGTGTGTGGCGGTAAGGCAAGTGTTGACAAGTGTGGAGTATGTGGTGGTAACAACGTCGCCATTGGTTGCGATGGAAAATGTTTCAGTGGCATGCGAGAAGACGTGGTCGGCAGCTGTTGTCATGCGACGACGATAACCTCGAGTGGTATATGCGGTGAGACTGACAATTTGCCGCCGCATTTGAAGGCTGTTGCTACCGCAGCCCGCACAAAGCGTGCCAATGTGGCGAAAAAAGTTCCCGTTTTGAGACGCATCTCTTCGATTTTCGCCAGTATCGTGCGGTTATTGCTGCGCGTGGTTACAGTGTGCGTTCTCGCGATTGTATTTACTCTTCGTTTGACGTTTTTGGCGGTGGCCTTTGTCGTTGGTATGGTTTTCTCGACGTTTACTCTGAAAGCCATCGGGACTCTCACCGCGGGCTACGCTGTGGTGGGAATCGTTGATAAAAAAGTACAGAAACGTCTCGGGGTGGCAATCCGTCAAGCCGTACCTTTCTTGGATGACAGCTTCGAAGAAGAACGCAGATCTACTGCCGCTTTCCAAAACAGTGACGTACCTCGAACAACAACGGAACGCATTGAGTTTTATGTGCGCCAACTGATTTTGAACCTCAAACAGGCGAAGGATTTACCTGGTTCGTTCATGCATTACTTACACTGGCTGCGCACCAACTTGCATGAAATCGCTGGCGCAGTAGCCCCGATCATTCTCAAGTTTCTACGCGACGCCACGTACGATGAGATCAAGAGCGCTCGCACCGAGGCGCACAAGGAGGCTATCGCGAAGCGGCGGATTGAACGAGAGAATGCTGAGCTCAAGCGACTCATGGTAGAACAGGCACGCCTCGCGCCAATGCAAGACGACGCTGCGGACAATTCGCGAACAACCGCTTCACTGAGAGCGACCTTGGCCAAGGCAGAGGAGGATCGTGCGGCTGCAACGCAATGTGAAGAAGAGAAATCCGAAGCGCTGAAAGTTCTTGTTGCTAGAGCGCTGAAAGAACATGATCCAGTGCAGAGCGCTGCTCTCGAAAAGGAAGTACATCGAGCGAAAGTAGAGCGAGATGAGGCTAAGGCAAAGTCTGCTCGCGCGGTGGAAGTCGTTCGGGCCCTGAAGAGACAGTTGAAATCTGAAGACGACCGATTGCAAGCAGAGGAATTGGCACACAAGGCGAAGGCGTCCGAGGAGACTCAAGCGAAAGCGCTGAAAGAAACGGAAAAGGAAATGAAGAGATCAAAGGAGGAAGCACAGAAGACCGAAGTGGCTCGTCTCAAGGCTTTGCAAGCTGAAGAGGAGGCACGAATGGCGAAAGCAGAAGAAGAGGCTCGTCTCAAGGCTTTGCAAGCTGAAGAGGAGGCGCGAATGGCGAAAGCAGAAGAAGAGGCTCGTCTCAAGGCTTTGCAAGCTGAAGAGGAGGCGCGAATGGCGAAAGCAGAAGAAGAGGCTCGTCTCAAGGCTTTGCAAGCTGAAGAGGAGGCACGAATGGCGAAAGCAGAAGAAGAGGCTCGTCTCAAGGCTTTGCAAGCTGAAGAGGAGGCGCGAATGGCGAAAGCAGAAGAAGAGGCTCGTCTCAAGGCTTTGCAAGCTGAAGAGGAGGCGCGAGCCGAAAACGAAGCTCGGCAGGCAGAGGAAGCAGAGGAGAACCGACAAAGGATATCGCGGGTGGAAGAAGAGGCCAGAAGGGCCGAGGAAGAGTCACGAGAAAAGGCGCGACATGCTGAAGCAGATGAGGCAACAAAAGAGCGCGACGCTCGTATCTCGGCAGACGTAGAGCGGCTGTCAGAAGTGGCAGCCGTTGCACGCGCTCGCATGAACGATGCAAATTCTGCGCTACGAGCATTGAGCACAAAGATCAGACAGTTTGAGAAATCCCACATGACGAAATCAAACGCCCTTGGGAACGCAAGCGCAATGGAAAGCGCGAGGCAACACTGTGTTCTCCTGGTCGATTGTTTCTGCAAACATAACGCCTATGCGACTGCGGTGATGAATGTTGACTTGGCGGTAGAATACCGAGATTCCTGCTTGCAACGAGGCACGATTGCGGTTTTGGAACGGCGCTTGCAGGATGGAGCAAACTTGCCGGAGGAGTTTGTTGTTCGCTACCGCTTTTTGCTGAAGTACAGAGCTCGTCGCAACGCCGTCATCATGCTATCAAATATAGCTTCGAAGCATCCAGATGGAGACACAAGACGGAGAAGTTACGCTGCTCTTAGTAGAATAGTCAAAAATTCACCCTTTGGACTGCTCGTTGCGGCGCGAACTGACGCACTTGAGCACGCTGTCCAGACGTTGATGACTTGGGCCACTGGTAAACCGAGAGACATCTTGCCGCCGTGGGAGGCTGCTGAACTCCTCCACAACTTGGTCTCAAACGAGGTGGCGAAGAGATCCGATAATTTGAAGCGTCAAATCGCCCTTCCAACTCTCGCGAGATCTCTTTTGGCTATCGCGAAAATTGTTCCGAACTCGGTTGAATATCAGAGCACGGCGCTCGCCACGATGTGGCAACTCCTGCGCGCAATCGGGTACGACTCAACGGTACAGGATGCACTCGTTGCCGAGGGCTTGGTTCGTCTGTTGCTAGATGATCGACATTACGCCAAGAAGAATTCGACCGTCGCGCGCATGTTCGGCGGATGCGCGCTCTCGCTTGCGATGCACAATACCGCGTCGCAGAATGTGATGGCTTCGAAACAGGTCAAGCTTCCCCGGCGCATCGTCAAGGTATTAAGTCTTCACGAAGATATCGATTACCTCGGCGAATTCGCGTCGCTCAACCCTTGGTTAAGCGGCGGCATGTAAAAAATATTCGACGCCTCTTCGCCCCGCGTGCTTTCTCCCCGCGCGCGCCTCTGTCCTCACTTCCGAGCTCGAACGGCCTTCTTCGTCGTTCAGCCGGTCGTCCTTCGATCACGTGCTTCCAAGCGATGTCACCGGTCGTCGATGCCTTCGACGCGGACGCTTCCGCGAACGCGCGCGACGCTTCGACCGTTCCGGTCGTCGCCGACGCGGCTTCGCCTACGTTCGCTGACTTTCTCTCTCCCGAGGCACAGGCGTTCTCGAGCGAGCACGCGGGCGAAAGCGTGCCGGTCGTGCGCGTGCGCGGAACGGCGCGAAGCGGGAGCAAGCTGTGGGGGATCGCGCGCGCGGCGGTGCGAGAGGACGGACACGCGTCGCGAGACGCGGCGGCTGCGGAGGGGTCGAGGCGGAGACGCAGAGCGAGCGCGGAATACGAGAGCTTTTTAAGGCCTATATTGGATCGAATGCCGGTCAAACCGGAGCGAGTGAGCGGCGTGGATGGCCCGCTGATGAACGTGACGCGGATCGACGATAAGACGCTGGACGTAACGATGACGACGTCGTTTCGCGCGCACTTCGGGCAATCGATACAGGCCATCGGACGTCGTTCGCCGGCTTTGGCGCTGCCCGAAGCGGATGGTGGGCGCGCGGATGTGCAGAGAGAGGGGAAGTGGGGCGATGCCGGCGGCGACGGGGTGCAGATATCTGAGATTGATTCGGGTGAGTTTGTTCCTGGTCGCGGCGGGCGGTACTCGGTGATGACGCCCGAAGACAGTTGGAACGTAGCAGTGGGTGATAGACGAGCGCCATCGCCCGCGATAGGGTGGCACGACGAAGAGGGATCTTCGAGTGATGCGCTTCATACCGAATTCTTAATCAATCCCGACGATGTGCGATTGCAGGAGCGAATCGCGGTCGGTGGTTTTGCCGAAGTGTTTCGCGGCACCTGGCAGGGCACTGTTGTGGCGGTCAAACAACTGTTGGAACGCACGAGCGAGGTGAAGGAAAAGCTAGAGCAAGAGGTTCAGGTATTGGCAAAGTTACGACACCCGAATCTTTTGCTCTTCATGGGGTACTGCGTCGATCCGCCGCTCATTTGTACCGAGTTCATGCGCCGCGGTTCTTTGCACACCATTCTGAAAGCGGGGAAGCCCCTGGAGCCGGCGAGGAACCACGCTATCGCCCTGGCCGTCGCGCGCGGGATGTCGTATTTGCACTCACGATCGCCACCGATCCTACACCTTGATCTGAAGAGCCCGAACATTCTTGTCGATGAGAAGTGGCGCGTGAAGATTGCTGACTTTGGCTTGGCGCGCATGCGACAGACCACGCAGATGAGCGCAAAGAGCCAGTTCCACGGCACCCCCGAGTGGATGGCACCCGAGATGCTGCGCGCAGAGGACTACGACGAACACGCTGATTCCTACTCCTACGGTGTCGTGCTCTGGGAACTCATCACCGCTCATAAACCGTGGGAAGACTTGCATCCGATGCAAATCGTCGCTGTCGTCGGCTACTCTGGGCGCAGCCTCGAGCTTCCATCCGAGGGCTTTCCCGAGAGCTCGCACCCGCTCACGGCGCTCCTCGCCGATATATTCACTCGGTGCGCGCGGAGAGACCCGAGCGCGCGTCCGCTCTTCCCCGCCATCCTCACCGACCTCGAGCGCGCGAGAGACCTCGCCCGCGCGCGCGCCGAAGCCGCCGGCGCCGACAAAACGGCGGCTCGGATCCCACCCCGCCCCGACACCGAGAGCGTCGATCGACGCGCTCTGGGCGTGCAGTTAGAGTACATTAGCCTAGCCGACGCCGTCGCGTCCACGGATGCGTCGTCTTAATGCATCATCACTCCCATTCCCGTCGCGCGCGTCTAAGCGGGTTTTCCTGTGACCGTTTTCCCTCTGTTTCTCTTCATCGTCGTGCCACACCATTCGCGTCACCGCGCGCCCCGCATGGCGCGCGACGCGGCGACCGCCGCCCGATCGGACGCCCGGGATGAATCGAGCTTCGTGGACAGTGCGTGCGCGATCGTTGAGACGCGCGGGGACGGGACGCGGACGAATGTAAAAAGTTTCGAGAGCGCACTTTTTCGACGCGTCGTTGACGCATGAAGACTGACGACGACGCCGCCGACGACGACGACGACGCGCAGGCACGGCGCCGGTCTACGCCGCGTTCGCGGAAGATCTGAGTGGATTCTTCGGACGGTGGACGCTCGGTGAGCGCGCGCCGCGGGCGCGGAGGCTCGGGACGCCGCCGAAGAGCGGCGACAGCGGAAGACGCGTGCGCGCGACGAGCCCGGTGCGAGAACCCATGTGGTTGGACGAGACGGACGAGGACGACGAATACATGTTCAATGATGACGAAGGAATGACGCCGGTGCCGGTGAGTCGGTTTAGGGCGAGGGCGGAGCGCGCGCGCGGGACGCGGACGGCGCGGCGGTTGGGGAATTTCGCGAAAGGCGCGGCGATGGGTTTCAAGAGGTTGACGGGTAGAGCGGCGAGAACGTTGGTCGGGGTTCTGAGCGATCGATCGAGCGTGTTCGATTTCAAAATGTTCAAGTTTTTTACCTTGGTGCTAAACGTGACGCTGAGCACGTTTGAGATTCCGAGGCAGTTGATCCTGATTCCGCTCATCATCGCCAGCCGTTTGCAGTTCGCCCCGGAGTGGTTGTTGGCCATGTTCGATTACGTGCCAGAGTGGAATAGAGCGCCGGCGGCGAAGGGGAAGAAGAAAGAGGGACAGCAGGAGAAGAAGATAGATTTCAAGTTTCCAAAGCTCAAGTGGAACGCGTTGAAATCGTGGGAAAACGCCATGCAGGTTGGACGGGAGACCCTGCGCATAGCCGAGTCGCGAGACGTGAACCACGAGACCAAGGAGACCAAGACGCAGTTTGAGAAGTTTATGAAAGAGGCAAGTGAGTACGACGCGGCGTGTGAGTCGACCAAGGCGCAGGAGGCGTTCGAACAAGCGTTGAAGCTTCAACCGCACAATTCAGACGCTTTGTGTGGACTGAGCAAAGAGCTCAGCGACCGCGTGTTCGATCACGATATCTTCCACAACAAGGCGTTGGCGAGAGAGTTCGCGATACGAGCGAGCGAACACGCCGCACGCGCGATCGAGTTGGCGCCGAACGACGCGCAGGCTTACATTGCGTTCTCCGTCGCCAACGCGCGCCTGAGCATGTTCTCCGAGGCGAGGCAAAAGGTTGAGCTCACGCACTCCATCAAAGCGAATTTATTGAAGGCATTAGAGCTCGACCCAAAGTGTGACTACGCCTATCACGTGCTCGCGCGATTCGAGCACACCATGGCGCACATCGGTGGGTTGATGCGTTATTTGATTAAAAGGCTCTACGGCGCCATCGAGCCGGCGACCATCGAGCAGGCGGAGGAGTACTTCCGAAAAGCCATCGAAATCAATCCCAAGCGTTTGATTCACGGCGTGGAACTGGCTAAGCTCTTGTACGAGACTAAACGCTACGACGAGTGCCGTGAGCTCCTCACGCGATCGCTCGAGATGGAGATCGAGGACGTAAACAGTCAGCGCACCAAGCTCGACGGCGAGTCCCTCATGCGAAAGCTCACGCACAAGCTCAACCGCACCCCGAGCCGCGGTTTGATGTCTCGCACCCCGAGCAAGCGCAGCCTTCCCAGAACATCCTCCTCCCTCTCATCCACTCCGCTCATTCGCTCCGAGGGCAAGGGCAGCGGTGTATTTACCCCGTGACGCGCGTTGTAAAGTTCAGAGGCGCGCGCGCCGTCTCTTCCCATCACACCTCGCCGAGTCACCGTTTCGTCGTCTTCCCCGCCCACCGTCGCGCGCGCACCGCGCCCCGAGCGATGCCTCCGAAGAAGTCCACCGCCCTCGACCGCGTCGCTCGAGGCGCCGAGCGCCTGCGACGCGGCGACGTGAGCTCGGGCGCGAGAGCGGCGGCCGAGACGCACGACGCGCGTGACGGACGCGTGGACGCCCGTCGAGGCATGGCCACGACGGTGTTCACCGTGGAGTCGTTGGGGTTGAAGACGACGAAGAGCGCGCGGGAGAAACGGCGCGGGATGGGGAGCTCGGGATCGCACAGAAAGGGCGTCGCGACGGTGCTCGCGGCGGAGGCGAGCTACGACGTCGAACGAAGAGTGCGAGACGGTCGACGACCGCTGCGCAGTGCACCGTTGGGATACGTCGAAAGGACGCCGGATGGATTTAAAGACGATGCGACGTCGCTGTCGTTGATGCCGGCGCGACCGAGGTGGGATTACGAGCTGAAGCGCGGACGGTTGCACGCGCGAGAGCGCAAGGCGTTCGTGAAGTGGTTGCGAACGGCGAAGGAGGCGATGATCGAGGTCGGGGGCTACGCGCCGGCGTTTGAGCAGAATATAGACGTGTGGAGACAGTTGTGGCGAGTTTTGGAGCGCTCGGACGTGGCGTGCGTGGTCGTAGACGCGAGAAATCCAATGCTTCATTTGCCGCCGGCGCTGTACGCGCACGTGACGAGACGATTGCGAAAACCGCTCGTGGTCGTCCTGAACAAGGCTGACGCGGTGCCGATGCGCGCAATCGATGAGTGGGCGGCGCATCTTCTCGCGTCTCTTCCGGGGATCGACGCCGTGGTTGGATACTCGTCTCGCGATGAGGCGCCGCCCACGGAGCGATTTTGGGATAAGAAGAGCCATGGAGACGAAGAGCGCGAGGAAGCGGCGGAAAGAATGCATCGCGAGAGCGCGATTCCGATGGGGCGAGAGGCTTTACTTCGCGTGTGCAAAGAGTTAGCTCGGACGGGAAAGCGATATCAAGCCGATGCGGAGGTCGAAGTGGATGACGGCGCCGACGAAGAAGAGGACGGCGAAGAGGAGGAAGACGGAGTGAGTGCGCAGGAAGCCGAAGACGCGCGGCTGGCGCTAGAAAGAGAAAACGAAGAATTCGAAAAGCTCAAGTCCGAGGGAAGGGTCATGATTGGCCTGGTAGGGCATCCGAACGTCGGTAAATCTTCGATGGTCAACTCGCTGATGAAGCGCAAGGCCGTGAGCGTCAAGGCGACGCCTGGCCACACAAAGACACTGCAAACACTCATTATGGATGAGGAAACGTGCCTATGTGACTCGCCGGGGCTCGTTTTCCCACGCGTTGACGTCACTCCGGCAGAACAAATCATAGGCAGTCTCGTTCCGCTTCCGACGGTTCGCGAGCCCTACAGCGCCATTCGCTGGCTCGCCGAAGCGAAGCTGGTCGGCGCCGAGCGATGGCAAGCCATCGGGCGCAAATTCAGTGGATCAGACGACGGCAAGCTCGCGCAGTCCCTCGCCGCGCCGATCACAAGCGCTCTCAAGATTAAACAGTCAAAAACGTACGATCCCGAAGTGCTCGAGCTCTTGAACAACGAGGATTTGACCGGTGAGTCTCTTCCGTGGTCACCGCTGTCGCTTTGCCAAGCGTATGGAAATATGAGAGGTTTCATGCTGACGCGAGGCGTGGACTTGCAGCGCTCCGGACAAGTCATACTAGGAATGGTGTACGAGGGCAAGATTCCGTATGCCATTCCGCCGCCCGCGGGCGCGCCGGTGGTGAAGACGAAAGCGGACATTCAAGAGATTGAAGTGGATGAAGACGAATTCGAGGACGACGAATCGGACGACGACATTAAAATCGCACGCACCGGTTTCGCCGCACTCGCGATGAACTCCGACGAAGAAACCATGCGCGAGCAGTACGCGTACAGCTCCGACGAGGACGAGCGCGGCACCTTCTTACCCATTTCGTCGGCGCTGGCGAAAGAGATGCGTTATCAATAGCGCGGTACCGCCGTATGATACTTGTAAAATGAATGTAAATCTGTCTTATTCCGTAAAACGACCGAGCGAGCGCTAAGATTTCTAGAGAATGTTCAGAATCTTGAGCGCGATGGTCCCGGAAACCGTCGCGAGCGCGATGACCCTGAACGATTCACCGAACGCGCGAACCGCCTTCTTCACCGCGGAACGAATGGCAACGGTACCGAAGAGTACCGCGAACGCGACGAGCGCGGCGGTGGTGCACGCCTCCTTCACCGGCTCGGGAACGAGACTAACCGCGGTTCCGAACGCGCCGGCGACGCCGTCGACATCCGTCTCCTCAGCCGGCGTCGACGACGCCAAGTCAGCGAGCTTGGTGACCAGCGTCGTCGCGCTTCGCCGCAGCGCGTCGACGCTCAGTTCACCCTCGTTCACAAAGGTGTATCCGCACAACACGACGAGCGAGCCGAGCGCGGGCGGTCCCCACCCCAGCGTCGGCGCCTTCGTCTCCGGCACCTCCCCCGTGGCGTTGTACGACTTCAACCCAACCTCTCCTCCCGGGAATCCTCCCGCGAGACCACCAAAATCCTTCTCCAGCCGCACCTCTCGCGACTCCCTTCGTGGTTTCGCCGCCTTTTTCGCCTTCTCCGCCGCGTTTCCCCGCGCGAGGTCCTCTCGGTACGCCAACAACGCCTTCTCCCCCCCCGCGAACCTACCGTCGTGCCCCGCCGCGCCAATCGTCAGTCCACGCGCGGTGCTCGATCGCCCGCACCGTCGCGTCCCGTCCCGTCGTCGCGTCGTCCCGTCGTCGTCGTCGTCGTCGTCGTCGTCATCGCACCCGCCCGTGTACGCGTTGTCTCGTTTCGTCTCTCGCGCCAGCCGCGTCTCTCGCGCGTCGTCGTCCCCGCGCGCGCGCGTCCGCGGTCCCGTGCGTCGGTGCGCGCGCGCGGGACGCGCCGGCGTCGCCTCCGCGCGCGGCGTCGTCGTCATCGTCGGCATCGTCGGCGTGTGCCGTCTATCGTCGAGCGCCATCGCGACACCGCGACGCGCCGCGCCCGCATGGCGCTCGCCAGCGCGTGCGCCGCCCTCGGCCTGCGCCTGGACGACGACCCGAGCGCGTCGGACGTGAACAAGGCGCGTCGCGCGCGCGATGGATGGACGAATGCGTGCATTCGTGCATGAATGCGTGCACGAATGCGTCGCGACCGAACGCGTGACTGACGACGCCGCGCGCTCGGACGAACGCAGGCGTACAAGCGTCTGGCGCTGAAGACGCACCCGGATAAACGGCCGGCGAGCGAGCGCGCGCGGGCGCAGCGGGAGTTTGATGCGATACAAAAGGCGCGCGACGCGTTGTTGGACGTCGACGCCCGGCGGGCGCTGGAGGGACGACGACGGGCGCGCGAGGGACGACGACGGGCGAACGAGGGGGCGGAGGCGAAGCGGCGACGGGCGATGGATGATTTGGAATCGCGCGAACGCGCGGCGGCGGGTCGAGAGGGGGGCGCGGCGGCGGACGCGGCGCGCGGGCGTCTGCGCGAGGAGTTGGCGCGCGCGCGGCGTCGACGCGAACCAGAAGGGGCGCGCGAGAGGGGTGGGGACGATCACGCCGGCGGGGACGATGGGCGGGACGGTGGTGCGGCGACGACGACGGCTGAACGCCTCCATCGCGCGCTGAAGGTTGTGTGGCGCAGGGACGGCGACGGCGACGCGGATGCGTACTCCGCCAAGGCGCTGCGAGGAATATTCGAGGCGTTCGGCATCGTCGAGGACGTCGTCGTGCGGGAGGGTAAGAAGAAGAAAGGAAGCGCGCTCGTTGTGTTTGAAAACGTCGAGGCGTGCGAACGCGCGGCGCGCGCGTCGTGTGGACGCGTGAGTAATCCGCTCGTGACGACGCGCGCGGCGACGCCTCGGGCGGGCGACGACGCCCCGAGCGGCGCGACGGCTTCAGTGGACGACGCCGCGAGGACGGAAACGACACAGCGGGACGCCGCGCCGGTGGGCGCCGCGAATCTTGATTTCGAGAGCGCCGTCCTGGAGAGACTGAAGCGCGCGCAGGAGAGAGCGCGTCTCGTCGCCGAGGCGGAGGCGGAGGACGACGCGACGTAGACGAGTTCGCGTGGAGAAAAGATGTGGCATCGCACGTCTACCTAGTGTAACATGTAAAAATAAAAGCTCGACGCGTCGGCTCGACGCTCCGCCGCGTCGTTCGCGCTCGCGCGCGCCGCGTGAAGGCTACACGGACCGCGCTCGTCGCCGCGTCTCCGTCCGCCGCCGCGGCTCGCGGCGCGCCGTTACATCGCGTATTTCTGCGTCCACTCCCGCGCCACCGCCAGCGCCCCCCGCTCGTCCGTTTTCCAGTGTTCCGCCACGTTTTCTCGAAGCGGATCGTCTGGATTCGGCGCGCTCATGAGCGCCTGCACGCTCAACAAAATGGTCCGAATCTGCAACGCCGGCGACCACTTATCCTTCAAAACGTCCAAACAAATCCTCCCCAGCTTATCCGTGTTCGGGTGATATATCTTCGTTCTAAAAAAAACCTCCGGCGGCGCCATCGGGTACTCCGCCGGCAAGAAGAGCTCGAGCTTAAACTTCCCGCCCTCGTACGCCGTCCCCTCCGGCCCGTCCACGACGCACAGAAAGTGTCTCAGGTTCGTTTCGCTCACCTCCACCGCGATCCCCGGGATGGGTTCGAGCCGCAGACGCTGCGCCTCCTTCAGGATCCGTCTCGGGAGCGCCGCGGGGTCCGCCATCGCGCGCGCGCGTCAGATCCGTCGCGACGAATGCGATCGCTCCGCGACGCGCGATCGCCCACCGCGACGCCGCGCGCGCGCGACGCGACGTCCTCGACGACCGCGCGCGAAGAGAACGACGTCCGGCCTCGCTCGAGCGCGCGCGCGCGAGCGGGCGTGGACGCCAGTCGCGATGTCGCGTCGAGGAATCATCCACACTCGTCGTCGTCGACATGGATCGCCCCGGCGTCCGTCGCCCGCGTCGCGCCCGCGCGCTCGGCGTCGCCCTGTGCGCGGCGCTGGCGATGCAGTGCGCGAGCGCGCCGGCGCTCCGCGCGCGGTTCGCGCGCGGCGTCGGGGCGAGCGCGATGGTGCTCGCGACGGAATCGGTCAAGGCGACGATGAGCGCGCTGGCGCTGGCGCTGTCGGGGCGAGGCCGGCGCGAACGCGCGCGATTGTTCGAGCGGACGTTTATGCTCGCCGCGACGGCGCCGAGCGCGGTGTACGCGGCGCAGAACGTGTTGCTCGCGCGCGGCGCGGCGGGACTGGACGGGACGACGTACAACTGTCTGAATCAAACGAAAATCGTCTCGGCGGCGGTGTTCCTGTACGCCCTGCGAGGACACAGACAGAGTTTGCGGCAGATGGTGGCGTTGGTGATGGTCGTGTGCGCGGGGGGGGTGCTGAGCGCGGTGGAGGGGGGTGGGGTGGACGCGCGGACGACGGGCGGCGGCGCGACGGCGGCGGCGTGCGTGCTCGCGGCGTCCGCGTTGAGCGGATTGTCGGGCGCGCTGTGTCAGATGGCGTTACAGGGGGGGGACGTGATGCCGGCGACGTTGACGCTCGCGATGGCGCTCACGGGTGGACCCATGGTGTTGGGCGGGGAGTATTTACGAGGCGGCGCGAGAGGCGCGAAGGCGATTTTCGACGGGTGGACGCGCGGCGCGATGATACCGGCGTTCTCGGGGGCGATCGGGGGGGTACTCGTGGGTGAGATCACGAAACGGATGGGGTCGATCGCGAAAGGATTCGCCGTGACGTGCGGTCTCGTTCTCACGGGATTCTTGCAGAGCTTTATGGATGGGAGACAGCCGCCGACGACGAACGTGGCGTGTCTGCTCGTCATCGTCGCCGCCTCGGTCCTGCACTCGACGAGTCCGCCGAAGACGAAGGCTAAAATGGCGTGATAGAACTAGTTTCAGTAGCTATTCTCAATCAATCTAAGTCAAACTTTGTAGTCTCGCCACGCCTCACGCACGGTGAGCGAGCGAATCGTGGTGAGAACGAGGATGCTCAGGGCGCTTCCGGCGAGCGCCACGGCGTTGTAAACCATGGAGAAATCGGGGGTGGGGAGAAGTAAGAGGAGTCCGTTTAGGTACACGCTCGACGGTCTCGCGTCGCCTTCCAAGGCGAAATAATCGAGCCGAGCAGAGGGCAGATCAAAGCCGCGATTCGCGTCGGGAGGGAACTCTCGACTGCGAAGGAATCCCTTGTCGAAATCCAAGCTCAGGCGAAGCGTCGACGCGTTCGAGGGGATCACCATTTGAAGTTCGAGCAATGAAGACCGCACGCGATCCTTCGCGGGAACGTACCGAATACCCTCAGTCGCGCCTCGCACGACCTCACCGTCCAACTCCACGGACAGAGTGTGCATGTAAAGTCGCACGAACCACGGAAGCGGTTGGAAAAGTCGAATACGAATCGGCGACGACGCGTGAGCGTTCTTTTCTTCGAGATTTCTCTCGACGTCGATGACGATGCCCCCGTTCTCGTTCCCGGTTCCGGTTAAGAAGCGCTCGATGAAGAGTTTCGGCGCTCGACGAACCGGCCGCATCGCCCACGCGTCCAGAGCTCGCGCGTTCGCCGCCGAGAGATCGAACGTCCTCACCTCGTCGCCGTCGTGTATTTGCACGCGTGACGAATCAGCGGCGACGCACGCGTTCGCCCCCGCCTCTTTGATGAGATCCATCACGCCTCGAAACGCGTCGCCGTCGCTCCGCAGCACCATCATGAGCGTCTGCTCCGTGCGCACCGTGTCGCCGTCCATCCACATCCGCGCCCCGAGCGTCACGTGCCGCGCGCCGAACACCACGTGCGCCGTCTTCAGAGCCTTCGCCAGCCCCGCTCGATCTCGACACGGCAGCTGTTTCAACCACGGCGCTAAATTCTCCACGCACACCGCCTCGCCCGGAAGACTCGCCCGTTTCACCACGTCCTCGTCCACCGTCCCAACGCGTCCGCGCTCGTCGCCGTCCCACGGCCGAAATCCCAACGCCGGTTCCGTCGTCACCGCACCCGCGTCCATCGCGCGCAGGGAGGCGCAAAACGTCCCGCCCAGCGTTCGCGTCGCCCGTCGCCACCCCTCGCCCGCGAGCGCTCGCGCGCGCCACCGTCCGATTACCTCCGCCCCGATCGCGCGCGCCGTCGACGGTGGCGTCCCCCATCGACGCGCGTTCCACCGCCCGCGTCCGAACCACACCTCGAGCGACGCCGCGTCGCTCGTCGTCAGCGTCGACGCGAGCGTCTTGGACGTCTTGGCTCGGTGTCGCGCGTCGTCGCGCGTGGACGAGGACTCGAACGCAAAGTCGAGGGCGAGTGAGCCGTCGAGCAGGGGCGTGAGCGTCACGCGCTCGTCGTGCGTCTCCAGCGCGCGCGCGCTCGAGGCGAGGAGGACGAGGAGGATGACGAGCGACGACGCCGGAGACGGAGGCATCGTCGCGGGACGTCGTCCTCGCGCGGCTCGCCTCGCGCGAGAGCGTCGCGTGGGCGACGAGAAGTCACGACGCCGGAGATCGACGGAGACGACGACGCTACAGAGGGAATTCGCGAGCGAGCGCGCCGATGTCTCGAGCGTCGCACCGAGGCATGAGATCGAGTCGTCCCGAGCACCCTAAGCTGATCTGAACGTAGCCCCAGTTCGCGCTCTCGGGGCTCGGATTGAGCGAGAGCGCGCGAACGTAATACGGGAGCGATTCGGCGTATCGACCTTGGTTGGCGTACGCGATTCCCATGTTTGACCAAGCGCGGACGTAGTTGGGCTTGATGTCCAACGCGCGACGATACGCGCCGATCGCGTCCGAGCTCTCGGCGCCGTTCGCGCGCGTGGCGCCCACCTTGTTCCATAACGAGTGATCATCGGGACGAAGCGTCGCCGCGCGCTGAAACGCCGCGACGGCTTGCTCGTAATCTCTCGTTAGGTGCGCCATGACGCCTAATACGGTCTGCACGTCCGCGTCGTTCGGCGACTGTCGCGCCGCCTCCTTGAACATGGCCATGACGTTCTCCGGCGTCCGCGGCGCTTGAGCGCTGGCGATGTGCTTGAAACGTTCCTGAGTTGCGAGCCACGCCTGGGCGTGTCCGAGCGCTTCGTCTTGATCGAGCTCGTTTGCGTGACTCACCGCGAGCGCCAATAAAACGTTCGGATTATGCGGATTCGCCTCGTGCGCTTTGCTCATCGCCGCTATCGCTTGTTGATCGTCATCGTTCTCCGCCTGCATGCACCCGAGATGATACCAAGCCTCGCTGTTACTCTGGTCCTGTCGCACCCACGCCTCGGCGGCGAGAACAGCCTCACTGAGGACGCCACTTTTTGATAGTTCCTTCGCCTTGCGTTGCAGATCGCCCTGACCGAGGTATGGGTTCGGGTCCGTGAACTTGTAATTGCTCCTCTCGGCAAGGTCAGATCTCTGCATCTCGTCCCACACGTTTTGCATGAACTCTGGATTGTTGCGCTGAATTTCATCAAACTCGTTCGCCCACTGATTAGGAACACTCTTGAACTCGTTGGCCCAGTCGTTGACGTCTGAAGACTGCTCGAACTGCCCCTCGCGTTGCGCGTATTGCTCCGCCCAAGAGTTACCGATTGGTTGTTGGCGCTGCGCGTTCATCTGGAACTCATTTGCCCACGTCGAACGCTCGGGCGTTTGCGCCGTGAACTCCTGCGCCCATCGCTCTCCTGTAACATTGCGCTCCACCTGATTTGATTGACCAATCTCCTGTAAACCATCGTCTTTCACCACAACCTGCCCGCTCCCGAGTTTTGACATGAGCTGCGCGAACTTGGAGTTCGCAAACTTTGGATCGGCATTAAGCGTCGCCGCGAGTTCACTACTCTGTTTCGCCGTGTGCGCCGCGATATCCGTCAACGGCGCTTGAATCGAGCGTGTTTGCTGCTCTGAGAACTCCTGCGCCCACTTGTTTCTGTTCATCGAGTCAAACTCGTCTCCCCATTGCGCGCCTTGAGTCGATTGCTGAAACTCCTGCGCCCATCGATCCATTCTTGGCACTGGCGAGCGAGCCTGAAACTCTTGCGCCCACTGCGCGTGTCTCATCTCCTCACTGCTCGAGAATTCGTTCGCCCACGAGCTCGACGCGTGGGCGTGCATCGGCTGTTGGAATCCTTGCGCCCAGCGTTCGCCTTGCTGCATCTCTCGCATCATCGCCGTCTCTCTCGCCATGTGCGCCCGCGCATTCATATTTCGCTCCATCGCTCTTTCCTCCAACCGCATGCGCTCGAACGCGACGTCCATCTCACTTTGCGATTGTAAGTGCCTCGCCATCACCGCGCTGCGACTCCGAGCGAATTTATTCTCCGCCGCGCGCGCGTCAAACCGCGCGTCCGGCGTCATCGCCATCGCCGGCGCCGTTCGCCCGCCGTACCCACCGTACCCTAATTCTGCTCCCCCCAGCAAGCCTTCTTGCGCCAATCCGACCCCGTTCGCCTCTCTCGCGAGCGCGACCTCGCGTCCGCCTGCCCGTACGCGTCGTCAGTCTCCCCGCTCGCTCCCCGCGCGCGCGCGCGCGTCGTCGCGTCGCGCGTCGAGTCCAAACGATCGCGCGCACCGTGCTCTCGCGCTTCGCGCATCTGCTGTTCCCGCGCGCCGCGTCCGCGATCGCCCAAGAGCGCGTCGGCGACGCGGGCGATTGGATTTTGTGTCTGTCCGCTCGGACCGGCGCCGTCGGACGGTTCGCACGCGGCACCGCCGGTGACGAGGTCTCGTGCGAAGCGGGACATCGCGCGAGGGCGAACGAGGGGCGCGCGCGGGTTCGGGGGCGAGGTGGAAAGTGTGGGGCTGTCGTATGAAGAGATTGGTATTCCGCTGTGTGTTCGTCGCGCGCGCGTTTACGTGAGCACGAGGGCGACTTGGCTCGCTTCTAAATCAGCCGAAAGACGCCAGTTGTAGAGGTAATAGTGTAGATTGCCGTCGCCCTTGCCGAATTTCAGCTGCTCGAGGAAGGACGCGTTCTCCATCAGGTCCAGGGTGTTAAAGACATCGAAGTTGTTGCACTTGGCGAGGATGAGCGCGTCCGCCATGAGGTCGACGAGCGGCATGGACGTGGCGACGTTGTAATACGAATACGCCGCCTTGAGCTCCTTGTGCTTCGTTCGCTCGTGTATAATTTGCGACGGGAGATTGTAAAAGCTGATGAAATCGGTGATCTTCCCGTTTTCGTTCTCCACGACGTATGAGAACACGACGCCGTCTCGAGGCATCAACCAGTGTCGCACGTCCGCCTCGCTCATGACGGGTGCGAGTGAGTATGAGCTCAAATACTTGGACAATAGCGCGGTGACTTGAGGGACATCCTCGTCCAACATCCTTCGCAACGCATCGCACTTGGGCTTCGGATCCAGCTTGTACACCTGCACCGCGCGAGACATCGAGCTGTCGCGGCTGAGTCGTGTGAAACCAATCTCGACGAGCTTCTTAATGTCCAAACTTCGGTGCCAATATCGCGCCCGAGCGATGGGCTTGGGAAGCACTACGCCCGCGGTGTACGCCGCCTGCCACACGTCCTTCGCGTTTACCCTTCGCGTGATCTCTCGAATCAGCGTCGGCGCGATGCGCTTTGACCGCAACTTTTTGTGAACGCACAAAAAGTTAATCTCCGCCATGTCGATCTCCTTCCCCTTCACGCTCACGCGCGCCGGAACGCCGGTGATGATCGCCACGAGCGTATTCGTCACCCTTAGCCGCACGCCGACGTGCCATTCCAAGTGATACCCCGGCGAGCACAGGGCCCACTTTAAGAATTCCTTCGAGTACTGAAATCGAAACATCGCGTCATCGTCCTCCACGTAGTTATTCGTCAACAGCTCGTACACCTCTTTCTGCGTCTCCTCATCTCGCATATCGCACGAGCACCACTCGTACCCAGGCGGTAACGACGGCGGCGCGCTCTCCGCCCGTTCGCTCGCGCGTCCGCCCGCGTCGATCGCGCCCTCCGCCGCCTCTCCTTCATCCTTCTCACCGAACTGCCGCACCGGTTGCGTCTCCCAAAACGCGTGTTCGGGCGCGTTCGATCCATCGCGCCCGCCCGTCGCGTCCTCCGTCAGGCGCGCGCGCACGAGCGCGTCCAGGACCGCGCGCAGGGACCCATCGCCGCTCGCGGTTTTCGACCCATCATCGCTCGATCGCCCCTCGTTCGTCCGCTCCGTCGTCTCCGTCCGCGCCGCGTCGCCGCGCGCGCACACCGCGTCCGCGTCCGCGTCCGCGGTCGCGGCGCCGGCGTCCGGGACCATGTCTCGCGCGCGAGGCGGCGATCTGTGCCGATGTGTCTCGAGACGAGGACGCGCGCTGGACGACACTCACCACCGCGCGCGCGTCTGTGGACGCACGGCGTCGCGCGCGAGCGACGGACGCGCGCGGACGTCGGTCGGTGCGGCGACGGGACGCGCGCGCGGGCGCGGCGCGGGAGACGAGACGCGTGACGCGCGTGGGCGAAGTGTCCAGGTGTCTCGAGAGATTGAGATTCGTTCGAATCCGTCGTCCGTCGTCGCGCGCGCGAACGCTCGCTCGAGGTTGCGCGGTGGACGCGTCGGTCGAAGGTTGGGATGACGGCGGCGTGGTACGTCGGGTACAAGGCGGCGCATCACGCGACGGGGTTCTTGGCGTTTACGTCGGCGTTCGTCTCGCTCGCGTTGGTCGCGGCGCACGTGCGACATTACACGTTGCCCCGAGTGCAGAGGCACATCGTTCGAGTGATTATGATCGTGCCCGTGTTCTCGCTCATGAGCTGGGGGTCGCTGGTGATGAGCGAGGCGGATGGGATTTACGTCGAGACGGTGAGAGACATGTACGAGAGTTGGGTGGTGTATAACTTTTTGAACCTGTGTCTGGAGTACGTGGGCGGACCAGGGGCGATCGTGAACGCGATGACGGGGAAGGAGGTCAAGGCTGGATCTTGGCTCCGAGGGACGTGCGTGTACGATAGGGATTTAGTCGTGGACGGACATTACATTCGTCGGTGCAAGCAAGGGTGCCTTCAGTTTGTCTTCATCAAGCCGTTGCTGTCGGTGTTAGAGATCGTTCTCCAGGCGAAGGGGAAACTCGGGGACGGACAGATTAACTTTCTCAAGGCGTACGTGTACATTCTGTTCGTGTACAACATCTCTTACAGCTTGGCGTTGTACGCGCTGTGGATGTTTTACCTCGGCGCGCACGATCCGTTGGCAAAGTACAATCCGTTGCTCAAGTTCATCATTGTGAAGAGCGTAATCTTCTTTAGCTTTTGGCAGAGCGTGTTCACCGCGATGGCCGTGCGGACGGGGACGTTAGAGAGTCCACTCGAAGGGCGGGCGGTGCAGAACGTTTTGATTTGCGTCGAGATGTTCATCGTGTCCTTCCTGATGTGGTTCGCGTTTCCGTACAAGGATTTCGTCGATCCCGAAGGCGTGAAGCGCGGATTCGTCTCCAACGTCGTCAACTTTGTGTCCGTGCGCGACGTGTTCGATGATACGGTGCACCAGTTTGGGGCGACGTATCAAGAGTACACCCTCCACGGCGACGGCGAGACGCCCGATAGAACGGTGCGAATGCGAACCTTCGTTCCCACGGGTCGCTCGAGCGCTCCGGCTGAAGACGAGCGAGACACCGCGAGTCTGAGCGCCAACATGGCGATGGAGAACGCCTTCTTTCATGACGAGGAACGGGCGAACGGACCGGTCGGATTGGATCGATCCGACGCCCCGAGGTCGCCCGGACGACCCGTCGAGCTCGTCAGCATCGAAGAGGGACAGAGATTGTGATAGATTTTAGCGCACGTTGTGAGGAACGACGAAGGTTGTTTTCAAGAAGTCGTAGATATAAATTACTGTTTATTGTACCACTCGACGGATGATTGTACAACCTCGTCTAGTCCAAATAAAAGAGGGTGACGAGCTTGCGCATCGACTTCGCGTTTCTGCACGTCTCCAAGAGGAGCCGCGAATCGTGAAACGCAAAGACGATGATCTGTTTCACCTTGCTCACGATGGTGTCGTTGCACACCCTCGACGCTTCGACGAGCGGCATGTCGTCGTTTTCGGGAACCTCGACGATCTGCCTCACCCCCTCCAAGAGCTCCCTCGACTCACGCGGTTGTTTCGCCAAGCTCTGCGGCAGCACCACCGTGAGGAGTTCCGGCTGTTCCGCGCGAAGCGCGCCTCGGATCACCGCCGCGTTCGTACCCGTCGCCCCGGAGGTGTAGATGTGATTCCCCGTCAGGCACAGCGCGTAGGCCAAGATTTCAATCAATTGTTGATGCATGAACCCCATGTTCCTCGTCCCGAAGAACCCGATCTCCTTCGGGCAATCGTCCTGAATCGCTATGAGCTCGGAGAGATAATCCATGTCCAGCGTCAGCCCGCTCGATTGTTTCTCCGCGACGCCGACGCCTTTGGTCACCGCGTCGCCTTGCGTTCCGAGTCCCTCGCCCGGGTACTCCGCCCCGAACGCGCGCTCGAAATCCTCCCTGGCCCCGCCCGTGCACGGGCGCACCCCGTCGTCGTCCGCCGCGTCCGCGCCCGGGCGCGCGCGACCCACGCGC